TTCAGCATATCATATACTTAAAATTAATAAGTGATAAAACAAAATCAATAGGCGAACTACCTGACCAGGAGAATGAAGGGCTTCTCTGGCGACTGGCGCTACAACAAAGAGGAGAAGGAGGCGGCTGGAAACGGCATTGCAACGAGAAAGCTGGAGAAGAGAAGCTGCTACGCTCACGCCCAAGGCGACAAAGGGGTTATAAAGTCCTATTTTTTTGTGACCGAATTTATTATAAAAAATGGTTGCAATTTTTAATCATGCGATGTCATTTTGTTATCAGACAAATTGTGACCGACTTGCGACCAAAACAATCAGTTGCAAAAGTATCAGTCGCAAATCAGTCACTAATCGCTCGCAAATCGAAACCTAAATTTGGCATTGAACTATAACACGCAATTTTACAACGGACTATTAAACGATCGCACATCCATCACAAATTCTATCGCAAATTCATCGCAATGGAGTCACAAAGTGAAAACCAAACTAGTGGGAGTTATTTGCGCTAGAATTAGCGACGGATTTGCTAGCGGTAGCAAGTCCATCGCTAAATTTTTTGCAATTTGGTCGCAAATCCATAGGTTGATATTAAATCTCTGTTACTTCAACAATGATCGCAACTAGTCGCAATATTACGATCGATGGTCACAAAAATCAATCGCAAAAGCGCATTTTTTTGTAGTGTGTCACGCCCGACTCCAACCACTAAAGGAATTGTTCGCTTGGATCAAGCCAATTTCATCTCATACTGAATTGGCAAGACTCACACGGTTTTGTCCTATAGGTGAAATGGGAAACTTCCCAAGAGTTCACCCATCCTAGGATTTCCGTTAAGTGAGCACGCTTAACCATAGAGTTCTTCCAACTCTCCACGCCATTCCACCAAAAGGCGCCTCTGATAATTAGTTTTTCCATTTTCGATGTATGATCCAATTCATTCATGTGTCTTGCATTCCACTACCTATAGCTAGCCCATCATCCTATAAACTAGCCAAGAGTTTTGCTCTACCCCGCCCTCATAGGATCGCTTTGCCAGGTTGGGATATCACAGGCCCACCAGCTTCTGTGTGGTTCGTTCTCGAACCATACATCTACTAAAAGGAGTCCGGCTTTGATACTAATTTTCACGCCCGAGTCCAACCACCAGAGGAATTGTCCGCTTTGGATCAAGTGAATTCCATCCCATATTGGATTGGCAAAACCCGCACGGTTTTATCCCACAAGTGAAATGAAAAACTTTCCAGGAGGTCACCCATCCCAGAACTTCCATTAAACGAGCATGCTTAACCCTGGAGTTATTCCAACTCTTCAAGCCATTCCATTAAAAGGTGCCTCTGATGATTAGTTTCTCCCTTTTCGATATATGATCTGATTCATTTCTGTGTCTCACATTCCACTACCCATAGCTAGCCTGTCATCCTAGAAGCTAGCCAGGAGCTTTACTCTACCCGCCCTCTTTGGATCGCTTTGCCGGATCGGGATGTCACATCTGATGAGTTAAGTCGATTTCGTCCTAGTACTTCATTGGAGATATTTTCATTTGATTTTTTTGTGAGTTTTCTTCTGTTTGTAATAGATTTTATTAGTTTTCCCAGCAATAATAATTATTAGGACTTTAATTAATAGAGACATTTTTTTTTTGTCGAAAGGGTTTTAGGTTGTTTTAGTGTTTGAAAGCGGGAAATATGAAGTGAGGCTCAAGGATGATAATGTCTACAAAATTAAGTTTTAAATATTAATCATTTCATCGTTGCAAATATAATAATAAGATTGCCTTATGTTGCAAATATTATATTAAAAATATAACATTGTATTTTACTGTTTAAAAATGATAAATAATCATTTTAATAGTTAAAAATATATTGTTTAATTTTTTAAAAATTATATATATAAACAATTTCAAAAAGAAGTTGTAGATGAAGGATCATCTTGGTCATTAAAAACATGTCTCTCACGGTTCACTACGCTTTTTTGGTTTGACTCATAACAAGAACCCCAAAAAATGAACAGAGGGATTAAAGGATTGGACGTAAACAAGACAAAAAGAAAGGATTGATCAGTATATTTAACTATAATTGAGGGACTCAGTAGTAATTCTCCTAATGTAATCAAATTATTTCAGGCTACGTTCTGGTTTAATGTAATAAACTATATAATGAAATAAAAATTACATTATATAGTTGATTGTCTTTTCCTGCAATAGTTGATCTGTTGACATTGACTTTAATGTTTTACATGCTACGCAGGTACAGGAGCCCCGTCTCACGGGCTTGCTTGTAAGCTTGAAAACCGGGTAAGGAAACTGCCTGGTTATTTACCTAAGGTTATGTTTGAATGTTTTTTTTTTTTTCACTTTGTAATATAATGAGGATTACAATTGTTTTTACCCTAACTTAAGATAGTGTCGTTCCATCCAAAAACTTATATAAATCTCATTTCATTACAATCTCTAAAATGCTAAACTCTAATCAAACTCAACCTCAAACATGGCCATTAGTGGCAGAGAAGTAGTATAACAAGAAGATTAAGCAGAATAGCGCATAACTCTATTAATATTAGGTGATAGACATTATGGTAAAATTAAATCCAATATCATATTTGAAATTCACATATAAAGTGAATGGTGACATATATAATTGCCACATTAATAGCTTTTGGCTCAAATATTTTTTTTTTTTTTGGCGTTAATAATGATATAGTGGTGGTTGAGGTGGTGGTGGTAAAAAAGTGGTAGTTATAGAAGTGGTGTGTGCTAATCACATTACATATTCACAAACAAATATAAAAATAAAATGACAATTATATTCCATAATTTTTTTCAATTACACGACTAAACATAATAATGAAAAATTAATCACATTATATTACAATACATATTATATTATATTTTTAATTACGTTACATTGCGTTACATTCAATTAAACATAACTTTAATATAATGATTATACTAAATATATCTTTGATTATTTATAATGAAGCACAACTTACCAATTGTTGCCTAAATTTTTAATTTATAAACTCTAAAAATATAATTTATTTATTAGGGTATTAGTCAATTTTACCTTTTTATGAATAAATTTATCAATATCTTTGTATTTATTTTACATCTTTTATGCAACTTTTGCATTATATGTAGCCTAGCCTATCATCACTTCCCTATGCCTTTTACCTTTCTCAATTTTCCTATTATGTTTTTGATTACCAAATCATCATATTGAGCTAGATTACCATCGTTGTTGCTAAATTAGTGTAATTCAAACCTTAGACTTAATTAACACTTCTCATTCTTTTCTTTTACCTCTTATAAGGAGAGTTTCAAATTTAACTCGAGATGAACTTTTTTTTTTTTTTTTGCAATTTATTAAATGTTGAAATTTAACTTGAATTTATTGTTCTTTTTATTGTTCTAAATGATTGTTTTTTTAACTTAAGAATATCACTTATGACTAGGGATGATAGCGGTGCAGAGTATTTTAGGATACTTGCTCCGATCGTTTAAAAAAATATGGATAGTTAAAAATGAGTTTAGGATAAGTACGAGTAGTGAAATTACTATCTGTAATGAAACGGGTAGAGACGAAGTATAAGTCTTTAGGTACTCACTACCTGTTATTTGCTATATTAAAAGGATTTGACAGTGGATACCCGTAGGTATCCTATCAATTATTAGTAAAAATTGTATTTTAAATAAATTTGGATTTGGATAGTTTAAGATTCGCGAGTATCCTACCTATATAAGGGTACTATAAACGAGTTTTGGATGGATACAGGTAGTAAAAATTTAAACGGATTTAGATACGGGTACTAAAATGAATATTTAAATGGGTCTAGAATGGATATAAATAATAAAATTTTAAACGAAAAAGGGTGCAGGTAACTTAAAATTCGTGGATACCCACTCTGTTTAAATCCCTACTTGACTAAGTTTAATACCTTAATACCTTAGCACAATTAATGGTATCACATGTTCACGAAGGTATTGATATATGCCTGTTGTATCACCCAAAAAGTTTTTAAATTTTCAAATTTGAATATTAGTGAGTTAAATAAAAAAAAATGTGAATTTCAGTAGAGCCAGTAAAACGTTTACTCTCTCCTTTCTTTTTATATAAGAAAAGTTTCAATTTTATGTGTTCTTTTTTTATATAGAAAAATTTGCCTAATTTAGTAACTCTAGGAACCATACCAATGTAAAAACTATATCTTACCCTTGTTTTAGTTCTTTGTAAAACTTTTAATGTGGGAGATTCTCAATATAGGGGCAGAGAAAAATATAAATGAACATTTAATGTGAATAAATTTTGGTGAATGAATTTTTTACATCAATTTCCAGTGTAAAAAAAAGATGCTTATATAGGTTAAATTAGCACCGATTAGAATGAAGTTTGAATAGAAAACTGCTATAAAATTTTCAAGTTGACGACATTGAAAGGAATTTTGCAGATTTCTCTGAAAATTTAAAAAATTGTGCAATGTTTAAGGTATGTTTCAATAATTAAAGGCAATTGGAAGATTAAATAAACACAAATTTTCATATTCTCACACAACTTTTCCAAATAACAGACAAAAAATAAATTTCTCTCCACATATTAGAGCATAAACTTCATTTTTGCAACTGTTTATATTCCATTCATTCCAACAAAGCATTTAAAACCTCACTGAAGATTAAAACATAATTTAAGACATGCATTGATATTGGAGGAGAAATAAATGATATATTATGGGTAAATTAGGAAAAAAATGAGAAAAAAAAGTTGATTAAACTACTTTTTTAACCTAGACGAAAAATTAACTGTACTCGTATAAAAAAACAAGGGAGTACTCTTTACAAACCATTTTCTCATGATATGAAAAATTTCATTGAGAAATTGAAGAAGAAAAATTGAGCTAATTCTGGGGTAGAGTGCAAGTTTAGGGAGTCTAATAGAATTAAAAAAATAATTAGTTGACAGTTGATTAAGAAAGCCCACCCTACACTGGGCCTCTCTTTTCTCTGGAAGGATTTCCAACAAAGCATTCTTTACTTTTTTCTTTTCTCTCTAAGAAAGAGCTCTTACAATTACAATGCAAGTTTGGGAAGTGAAAACAACATCCCATGTAATATTATTATTATATTCCCATGTAAAATTTCTAGTACCTACTCTTTTGTTTCCTTCACTCACTTCATATTTCTTACTCCATTTTCCAGCTGGTGCCACCCATCCACTAATAAGAAGCCTCTTTTCATTTTCTTCTGCTTATACATCTATCTTTATATAGCCTCTCTGCTTTCCCATTCTCCATTGTAATTAGCATTGGCAATTTGGCATCTCCTGCCATATCCCCATTTCTCTCTAAATTCCTCTTGGTCAGGTATGTGTACTTCAATTCAAATCTTTAAGTACCATCTTGTTTTTTCTTCTGAATTTTTTTTTATAGAAAATTATATTATGCTAAATGGACGTTGCTCATTCCTTTTTGTTTCCCAAGATAATCTTTTGGATGCTGATGTTTTATTATTAGAGCTGTTACTTTTGGATGGGCTGATCTAGATCTGTTCTTTTGCCTTTTTGTTGATATGCATTGTGTGGCTGTGGCTTTTCTTTTCTTGATTTTTCTTTTTTTTTTTTTTCCCTGAAGTAACAGAAGCTTGTTTTGACTAGCTTGTAGTGAGCAAAAAGAAACGTTAAAGACGGTTAATTTCTAGATGTTTTGACTAGCTTTTCTTGATTTTTCTTTTTTTTTTTTTTCCCTGAAGTAACAGAAGCTTGTTTTGACTAGCTTGTAGTGAGCAAAAAGAAACGTTAAAGACGGTTAATTTCTAGATGTTTTGACTAGCTTGTAGTGAGCAAAAAGAAAGGTTAAAGACGGTTAATTTCTAGAAAAAACAGTGTAATGTACATTGAGATGGGTTTCTGATCTCCATTTGGCCAAGTCAATAGATGGTATGGAGGTGTAATAAATACTAAGCAGTGTATTAAAAAAAATTTCTTTATTTGCATGCAATTTCTTGTTTCATAGCCTTTCTCGGATCCTCTTTCAAGTTTTCTTTATTGAATTCTTCAATATCTAAAATAACCCAGTAGAGGAAGAAAGAAAAAAAAAATGTTCACATTTGTCTTGCTAGATGAGCTACTCGAGATCTGGTCTTTGCTTATTATTTATGGTCGATTGCAATTAGAAAAAGTTTCTACTCAAGTTAGAAGTTTTAAACTTTAATGGGGTTTCTTTTATTTCTATTTTTTTGGCATTAATGGTTTTAAAATTTTAATTTTTTTTCTTTTTGCTGCTCACTTTTAGGTTTTTTTTTCAATTTTATTTGGTTTTTCTGTTTCTTTTTCTTTTGGTGATTAATGGAACTGTTTGTGCCTATGTTGATAATCTGAGTTCTGAGATATAACCTTTAATTCCATTTGGGCATGGCAGGAATTTGGAGAGTGGTAAAGAAATTGCTGCATAAACTTTCTGATAGCAATGGACCTCTCAAAGATTGTTATATGTAGCAGTACACTGATGTTTTTGTTCATTTTACCAACACAATCTGCTAGTCCTCCAGCTCCAGTATTAACTCCAACTCCTGCTCCTGCACCAGCACCAACCTCTCCTTATGTAAATCTCACTGATTTACTTTCTGTTGCTGGTCCATTTCATAAATTCCTTGATTACCTTATATCCACCAAAGTCATTGACACATTCCAAAACCAAGCCAATAATACAGAAGAAGGCATTACTATCTTTGTACCAAAAGATAGTGCCTTTTCATCTCCTAGGAGGTCTTTATCAAACCTTACTCAAGATCAGCTTAAACAAGTCATCCTTTATCATGCCTTGCCACACTATTATGCGCTTGCCGATTTCAAGAACCTTAGCCAAATGGGCCCTGTTAGTACATTTGCTGGTTCTGGTGAATTTGCTTTGAACTTTACAGATGTGTCTGGTACTGTGCATCTTGATTCAGGATGGTCTCAAACTAAAATTAGCAGTAGTGTAGATTCAACTGATCCTGTGGCGATTTATCAAGTCGATAAAGTGCTTCTACCAGAAGCAATTTTCGGTACGGATATTCCTCCAACACCTGCACCTGCACCAGCTCCTGAAATTAGCCCTGCTGCAGATTCTCCATCATCTGATATAACCGGCAGCGAAGGACATGCACCTGGAGTTGCTCCTCCGAACTCTGCATATAGAATCGTCGATACGGGTATTTGGATTCAATTCGTTTTGGCAGTTTCAGGAGTGCTAGTCTTGTTCTTGTAAGAGGAAAAAAAAGATTGATATGTTGAATCTTTAATTTATGTTGAGAGGGTATATCTGGCCGGATTTCGTTTATATGCTTTATTTTAAACCATTTTTTGATTTTATATTGTTACTGAATTTTATGCAAGTGAATGTGAATTACTTGTGTTCTTTATTTCTATTAAAACCTACATTTGCTTGAATCATTTCATGTATTTGTTAAAGATTATACAGAAATTGTAATAATTTCTTTAAAAATTACAAAACTTAGCTTTCAAGAATAAAAATGATTTCATTGTAAAGCTTAGAACTTTACAACACACAATGGCCCCCTAAATGTTTCTAACCATTAGAAAGTTCACCAGACAACCTAAAATCTTTGCTAGTTCATGATTTCATGGTCTCTTCTTTACCTTAACAATCTTTGTATCTAATGATTTCTTTGTCTGTTCTTTCTTTACCTTATCTCTAATGAGGCTTGTCAAATTATTAACAATCTTGTTACTTCACCTAGAATCCAAGGCAAACACACACCTCTTTTAGAATAGGATGCAATGGGCCATAAACAAAGCAAAAGCTGCAAAACTCATGATTTACTTTCTTTAAGGATGAATTAATTAATTATTACCACCTTAACATATGCCATTCTAATCTGCAAGCAAACTACCAATTGGGGCCATGATGATAAATGAGCATGTTGGTCTATACAAAAATTAAAGAGAGAGAATTTTAAAAAGCTTTGCATTGAAGTGGGTTTGATAATTTCACTTTCACGGGTTTGGTAATGGAGGTTGGATTAGTATACGAGAAAGAAAAATCTTAAATTGACTAGTTAGTTATAAGTCATTATTATTTAACAAGTATGAATATAGATACAAAACACAATTTCCATATAATATGCACAAATATAGAATGTACCAAATTATTATTATATTTTATTGTTTAAATTTTTATCAATTGGCCTATTAGCTCAGTTGGTTAGAGCGTCGTGCTAATAACGCGAAGGTCGCAGGTTCGAGACCTGCATGGGCCACATTATTTTTATTTTTCCAATTTTCAAATTTGTTTCGGCTTGAAATGGGCCACCTAGATATAGTTTGTTTTAATTTTTTTTTTTTAAAAAAAATTCAATGCTCACATTTAAACGTTCAAGGCATTGCTTTGCCTATTCTTCTTGGTTCTACAGTTAGCTAATATGGAAAAATTATAATGCCATGGGAGTTTTTACTCTCAATGGTGTAGCCTCTAGGTTTATTTTACCTTCTTATATACCAAAAGAAAACAATAAATTATTTATTTTCTCCTAATAGCACCTTTTAGGTAATAAACCCACCTAAAAATGATATTTTATTTTAAAATTTTTATGATTAATATTTGATAATATGTTTCATTTGTTATCTATACCATTATCAATAAGAAATTGGAGGGAAATCAAATAAAAAAAAATAATTATAATTATAATTAAACTTCATGTACTAAATAGTAAATTACCTTAGAATTTAAAATTGGAAGGTGTCATTTATTTGAAGCGAACCAAACGCAACGCCTATTTCCCTCTGTTTCTCTCTGTTTCATACATGGATGCATTTCCAGTGTTCGCGGGTCTTATGGGCAACACGCTTTTCTCTCCTTTTCTCATTCGATCCTATCCATCTATTTTACATGTCCACAAAACATCACTCACTCTCTCTTCTCTCTTTCTTTTCTCTCTAAAACAAACCCAAAGTTTTGACCTTTCTCTGAATTTTTCAGGTTTGTTTTTTTCTTCTATGGGTTTTTTATTTGTTTTCTTAATTTGCTTTTCATGTTATTTCACCTGCATAAGATTGTTTCTCACTTGGGTTTCTTTTCCGTTTCATTTTTATGGATCCAAATTTGAATTTCTGTTATTGATTATCTGTTCAAATATTAATTTAACATGTTTAAATTCTAACACGGTTATGCGTTTGATGCATATAAACACAGTGGGTGATCAGTTTTGCTTTAAGTGAGTGAAAGATATATATTTGTGCAAAAAGAAGGTAAAAAAGATGTCTACTTATGTGGGTGTACTCGTTTCTGATCCATGGCTTCAAAGCCAGTTCACCCAAGTGGAGCTACGCACACTCAAATCCAATGTAAGTTTTTTCTTTTCTGCCTATTTGCGAAGAGTGATTCCTCATGTTTAATGCTTTTTCTAACTTTATCACGGATTTTTAATCTTGAAAAATTCTGCAGTATCTTTTAAATTTTTGTAATTTTATCACCGATCAATTTATTCAGCTGAATTAGGCCTTTATTTGCTAATGTGGCAGGTCTCAATTTGTTTCTTGTTGGACACCATATGAAAAAAAATTACTATAATACAATTATTCATGTTCACTGAGTTTGTAAAAAACAATTTTAAGAAAAAGAACAAATTTAGGCTTCCTGCTTCAGTAAATTCAGGTTATAATTTCACATGGGAGTACTATGGATGGTAGAATTGCCAAAAAAAAAAAAAAAAAAAAAAAAAATGGATGTAGAAATTGCAAAAAAAAAAAAAAAAAAAAAAAAAAAGAGAAGTTGCTGTATTGCTAAAAAATTGAAAGTCTGTTTTAGAATTGACAAAAGCCAAAAGGTTGAAATATTTTTTTGTGATTAGCCTTTTTCTTTTTTCTCATTTTGATTGTGGTTCAAGTTTGAATTATGTTTGTCCATTAATTAATTAGCAATATCCTAATGGATTTTCCATTGGTTTTTAGTATGTCTCATTAAGGACTCAGGCAGGTCGCGTTACAGTTGGGGATTTGCCTCCAGTTTTTGCAAAATTGAAGGGTTTTTCTGAGGTTTTTAATGAGGAGGAAATTAAAGCTATATTGGGGGAGTCTTACACAAATGCAGGAGAAGAATTTGATTTTGAAACTTTTCTCCGGGTGAGTCTTTCGTGTTTCATTTGATATAACTCGTTATTTGTGATTACTTTCATTTATGATCATGGTTATTGTTTAATATATATAAGGTATTATATATTGCTTTTTTATTGAGTGATAATGGATAATATTCTTATTTTTCTGGGTTGTTCAATTTGTTAATTGACAGGCATATTTAAATGTGCAAGTAAGAGTACCAGCAAAATCAGGTGGAAGAAAACTGAAGTCTTCTTCTTCATTTCTCAAAGCATCCACAACCACTTTTCAACATAACATTAATGAATCTGAGAAGTCTTCCTATGTTTCTCACATTAACAAGCACTTGGGCAAGGATCCATTCTTGGAAAAATATCTTCCTATAGATCCATCCACAAATGCTTTATTTGATCTTGTGAAAGATGGAGTTCTCCTTTGGTATATGACCCACGTTCATTTAGCAATTTATGCAGTTTTGATTGAACTTTGAAGACGTATTATGCATTTACTAATGTTTTTCTTTTTTTATGCTTTATGCAGTAAGCTTATCAATGTGGCAGTTCCTGGGACTATTGATGAGCGAGCTATTAACACAAAAAAAGCCCTCAACCCATGGGAGAGAAACGAGAATCACACCCTTTGCCTAAATTCTGCAAAGGCTATTGGCTGCACAGTTGTTAATATTGGAACACAGGACCTTGTTGAAGCTAGAGTAAGATTGAGCTATTTCCAGATACTTGTTGGAATCTTGTGTATTTTTCTTTTAGGATTGCAGTATGCTGAAGGTTTTATTTTGTTCTTGTCAGCCTCATCTGGTACTTGGATTGATTTCCCAAATTGTTAAGGTATTCAACTCTAATTGCTTTGTTTATCCATGTAATCACATATTATTGAGTAGCATATTGAAACCTTATGATGGCAATAGTCTTATAATTCATAAGACCTAGAGAGTTCGATTATCCATGTTTGCCTTATAACATGTGTATTTATGTATGGTGGCAACTTCAGATTCAAGTGTTAGCGGATGTTAATCTGAAGAAAACTCCTGAACTTTTGGAACTGGTGTCTGACAGCAAGGTAAAGTTTTGCCTTCTTTATATACCATTTTTAATCCACTTATGATATGCTATCATTTGCTTACCATATTAGATACATGCAGGATGCGGAGGAGCTTATGAATTTAGCACCTGAAAAAGTTCTACTGAAATGGATGAATTTTCATCTGAAAAAAGCTGGTTACAAGAAAACGGTTACAAATTTTTCTTCTGATGTGAAGGTAAGGAAGTTCATCAAATATTAATGGCAGAACTCTTGATATTTAATCCATGCATTGTTACTATCTTGATGGAATTATAAGTTAGCATCACTTAGTGCCAAACCATTTTGATTGAGTGGATTTGCTTGCATGTTTCAAATATTAAACATTAGAATATTGTTATGAGGAAAATAAAGTATAATTATTTTGCTGGGTTTCTAGCCTTGAATAGCAATAGGCTGTGTTTGTTGTCATTATTATATAATAATATTGTGCACAGAACTCTATTTTCTGTCATGTTTATTCTATGTTTCAGGGTATCTTTTCCTCTTTCATGGTTGTATCTGTGAGCATTTGCAGGATGGAGAGGCCTATGTTTACTTGCTTAATGCTCTTGCACCAGAACTCAGCAGCCCTAACACCTTGCAAGCTTCTAATCCCGAGGAGAGAGCAAAAATTGTTCTTGAGCAGGCAGAAAAACTTGAATGTGAAAAATATGTCACTTCTCAAGACATCGTTGAGGGTTCTGCGAATCTTAATCTTGCATTTGTAGCACAAATATTCCAACACAGGTGAGAGAAAAGGGACAATTCTAGAGTTCTTTCTGCAGCATGCATTTGTGAATTCTGTCTTATGCTGCAAGTATGTTTGTTTCTCTTGCAGGAATGGATTGACAGGTGATACTAATAAGATGGGCTTTGCTGAAATGATGGAGGATGATGATCAAACTTCACGTGAAGAGAGATGCTCCCGTTTGTGGATTAACAGTCTGGGAATTGTTACTTACGTTAATAATGTGTTTGAGGATGTCAGAAATGGGTGAGCTCTTAATGTTTCCACTAAAATAGTGAATAGCCTTGTTAACGGTCGATTAACATTCCTCACTTGCACATGCAGATGGGTTCTTTTAGAAGTGCTCGACAAAGTTGCACCTGGGTCTGTCAATTGGAAACTGACAACTAAGCCTCCTATAATGATGCCATTTAGAAAAGTTGAGAATTGCAACCAAGTAATACAGATAGGGAAGGAATTGCAATTCTCCCTCGTGAATGTTGCTGGGAATGACATTGTCCAGGGAAATAAGAAGCTTATAGTTGGTCAGTTTGATTTAATTTTAAATATCCCATAAATATGTTATAGGATATGTCATTCAAATCTATGCTTGTTTAGCACTTATTATTAGAATTTAGAAACTATGTTCTCCATTAATTTTTTTTACCACTTTTTGGTCATTCTAACTAGATTAATGCACTGTTCATTTTTGTCATAATTGATTACAAGTAACTTTTACTTCAATAGTAATCTATGCACTTATTCAATCAGTTCACTGTTGAAAATTTATTTATTTTTAATAGTCTTAGCTAGAATCCGTCTCATTTTTGTTTCTCATCCTCTTAAACAATATTTCTTTTTCCAAATTTATAGCTTTTGATTGCTCTTGGCTCAATATTGAAAAGAATTGACTCTGGCATCTTCTTTCATCTCATAGCATATCTGTGGCAGCTAATGAGGTTCACCATGCTTCAACTCCTCAAAAACTTGAGATCTCACTCCTCACAGTCCCAAGGTAAAGAAATTACAGATGCTGACATTCTAAACTGGGCAAACAACAAAGTCAAGAAAGCAGGTAGAACATCTGAAATGGAGAGCTTCAAGGTAAATTCATCAAACAATGACTGTTTACAATGAGATTCTTGCATATGATTGACCATTTGATGTTTTATTTTTTTTTATTTTTGCTTTAGGATAAGAGCCTTTCAAATGGAATTTTCTTTCTTGACCTTCTCACTGCAGTGGAACCAAGGGTAGTTAATTGGGGGGTTGTTACAAAGGGAGAAAGTGGTATGTCATTGTTATTTTCCCCTTCTGTTATTTGAAAGTTTAACTCTTCCCATACAGAAAGGGGAATGTTCTTAGCTTTTGGGCCATTTTATTTTCCAAAGGAATAACCAGAATATATGTGCATAATGAGTTTGATCAAGTCTTTATAAAGTTTTAAGACAAAACCTCACTTTTTATTACTGATGTTGCAGATGAGGATAAGAAGATGAATGCTACCTATATAATCAGTGTTGCTCGGAAACTTGGATGTTCCATTTTCTTATTACCTGAGGATATTATGGAGGTAATTGGAATAATAAAGTTCTATAATCATTGATGATATAATAGAAAATTCTATTTTTATATTTTCCTGTTAACTTTGCTTGATCTCTAATATAAGAACGGTAACTATAATTTCTAGTTAGATCAGCTATTTGGAAATGAGAATTATCACCATATATCCAAATTTGTGATGGTGTCATGAGAATATTCTCTTTTGATGGTCAATTTTACATGGATTTAATGTTAATGGACATCCTTTTTTTCTTGGGTTCCTCCATTGATCCATAAGTTAGCTTGGATACTTAGGCAGTATGAAAGGTAAAGACCACAAGAATAGATTAAAAAAGAAAAAGATGATGAACTTAGTTTGATAATATTAATCTCAAATGGTCCATGTGGAGAACTTTAGAAATTGTAATATTTCAATGGGAGAAAAGTACGTTAAGGATGCTAGAACTTGAGATTTCATATTCCTGATATAAAAAAAAAAAATGTTAAAAAATATGATAGGACTCCATGAATTAATGGCTGCATTGTATTGGACTTAATTTCCATTTTATATTTGACTGGTTTGATGCGTTGTCATGACAGGTAAACCCGAAGATGATGCTCATTTTGACTGCAAGCATAATGTACTGGAGCTTGCAGCACCATGCTGGAGAGTTGTATCCAACTGTTGCTGAAGAAGCTGCAGCACCATCATCGACAGCTATGGTTTGTGATGTTTCTGGGGTGACTATGGATGATGCTGCTTCAGACACCGAAGCGTCCTAGGCAGGCAATAAAGAAGATAGAATGACCTCAAATTCCTTGGTTTTAACTTTTAAATGTTTTTTGATATCCTTGATTCATTTTCAAGAGAACATAAATGAAACTGGAATCTGGTTACTGTTAACAGATAATTGCTTAAAAAAGCATGCTTTGCTCATATTATAGTCATGTTTGGAACAATATGTACACAGTAACATGTAATCTTGACCATCCATTTAAAATCCAGGTTGAGATTTATATCATGGTGATAGTTAAGAAAACCAGTTAATGTTATAGTCATGTTTTGAATGAACAAGAAAGAACCTCAATCAATATCAACATTTAATCACTTAAATGGTAAAAGATTATCCCTCAAAGGTGTTACTTGGTACTTCTCATTGCTTAATCTTTAACTCGATCTATCAACAAACTGAAGAAATAAAAATTTACTCTCACACTTTGGCAAGAGATAAAAAATTATCAAAAGAAGCACCAGTAGACAATTCAATGAAGTAATTCGAGTGAGGGAGACTATACATTGGTCGAAGGAGGCATTTCCATTGAAAAGATACGAAAATTCAGAGTCCAATGGAGATTTGAGCAAAAGCAATTAATTACAAACACTAAACTCACTCTGCATTTTCATATTCTGTTTATTGTTACAAATCTGTCATTCAACATAAATCATACAACATTTATTTATAAGTTTCAACTAAAAGAATGCCTTTTAAACTTTTTTTTCTTGTATATATTTTTTTTCTTTTTTTCATTCCAATCTAGCTTTGTGAGGATAAGATAAAGAAAATATAAAAATCATCCATAGTTTTGTTGAGTGTCATCAAAAGGTGTATCAGATTTTTCTTGCTCTGCTACAAGCATAAGCATCTCGAGCTGCTTGTCAAAAAGCAAGGCACTTTCATCTCTCTTGTCAAGTTCAGCAGCTTCAGCTTCAAGCCATTTCTCTCGCAAATCATCAAGAAGATTTCCTTGGTCTGTCTTTATAACAGCTCCTGGAGCACTTGGAACTGTGGTGCGAAGTGAAGAATCTCCAGATGGAGGAGGCAGCGTCAGAAGCATTGCTCGGAACTCAGGAGTTTCAGCAAATGTCTCAAAGTTACAAGCTATTGTATCCAGACAGTACTCTCGGATCTTCAAGACACCATACCTGCAAACATCGCTTCACCATCAACAATTTTATAGCATTAAGGTATTGTTGACTTCAATAAAGAGGTCTACTTTCTAGCCGTCTTAAACATATATATATCCTTTGCATCTCCTTTGAACAGAAATACAGGAGATCAAATTAGGAGCTTAAAGTCTGGCCTTGATAATGGCATGACTGGTGCTACACCTTTAAAAATTCATTTCAGATGCTTTAAGAAACAAGGAAATTGACAGTTTACATGTCCGACAATATAAGCCAATGGCACAGTTCTGCGGGGGAAACCATTTCTAGTTGTGGCAACAGTACATCTGCTACAGCACGCTTAAGAGGAAATAATAGATATCTTGAAGCAGCATCAAACATGTCCTCTGCCTGCACAAATCATACAGTGGGTATTGGACATATATTTAACTAATAACAAGTCATTTTGGTAAAGAACATAAGATACCTGATCCGGGTCTATCTCCTTCAAACTATCAGTATACCTGAACCAACCAAGGCTCAAAATAAGTCGCCTGATAAGTTTCACACTGACAATAAATTTAATTGCACATATTTAAAGGTTCCAATAGTTCAAAACAAGGTTCATTATGCAACACATGTCACAAGGAGAATGGTGATTAGGCAACACATATCTGACTGCTGCATCAAAAATTTCCAAATGTAGAGAAGCCCTAATGTCAGAAAAGATGGTGCTGAAACCAAAGGATTAAACCTGGAAATAATGAGACATTATTTGAGTAAGCTAGCTATATATGAAAAGCAGAAAAAGCTTACATATATTCCACCATCTTCTCCAATGTTTCCATGCTCAAATCATGTTCTTCAAGGCATGGAAGGGTACCAATAGGTAATCCATCCTTCCCTTCATGAAAATCCTTCATCCGAGATAATCTTGCCCTAAAGTACTCTGATCTTGATGCTAAAATCACTTGATGGCAGTGGAAATTCCTCTTATCCACTCTTATACAAACATCAGCAAGATCATCTACAGAATCACTCAGCTGCCCAGAACCAAAGGAATATGCTAATCTATCGACAGTACCATCCAGGTTTCTCTCCATGGTTGACTTTGCTAGGGAAGTCTGAAGGATACAATGCAAGGAAGCAGGAAGCCGGTCTTCCTCAGGAAGTGATGAGCCCTGTAAGATAAACTTTTTCTGAGAGTTGTCTACATCTTTCAGCGCCTTGTACTCTGCATATTTTTGGTGAATTAGTTCTTTCTCAAGAATCCTTTGTAAGGATTCACATTTGCACACTTTGCAGATTCTCACAAGATCTTCCATGTCATCCACTGCGATCTCTAGTCTGTCAGAGTAGAAGAAGTGAATAAGGCTGTGAAGGGCAGGATATGACAACTTTTCCCTTGCAAATCTCACTTCACCTCTGTCTCTCCAATCAGTTTCAAACTTTCTCTTAAAAAAAGGCGATCGAGCACTTAATATTGCTCTGTGAGCTTCAATAGGCCTACCTTGAACATAAAATACCACGTCCGAAGGGAAGTGGTTGGAATTGGGCATCCCACTGGATGAGAGACCTACTCAACAATTTCACACGTCAAATGTCACATCCATATTGTTCTGAGAAGCAAAGTAAAGCATAACCAGAATAAGCTGTCTGATAATTCAGAATCAATGAAGCATCAATGGCACAGTCCAGATCATCCAAGCAAAACATGATTTTATATAAAAGTTTCACTATTTCACAATATATATGCTTAAGAATAACCTTCAAAAACGTTTGAAAAGGCCAAAGCAGTTTCTTAGACTGTCCAAAGCTTGTTATTATCTCCATTTCCATAAAAACAACTAACTGAGAAGGATAAAAGTAGAGCAGACTTTCTTGCTGTAAAATTACACAGAAAGAATTCATCACTACTAGTGAAAAAGGCCAATCTTTGTTACAAAAGAAAAGCACTCCATAGAAGCCCTTTTATTCTAGTGTAATTCAATGTGGAAAAAAAATATTGTTGTTATATTTTCATCAATAGGGACACATATATATACATATACAGAATACGATAAACCTATTAGGAATCTAACTCCTAACAGAACTCTATTAGAACTGTCCCAAACAGGCTTGGTCTATTACCTTATCTTCTTCCCTATTTATTTTTGCATAAAAAAACAATAACTAGAGGAAGGATAAAAGTAGAGCAGACTTTCCTTGCTGTAATTACAGACGAAAATAGCAATATCAATGGATCACCACGAGTGAAAATAAAGGCCAATTCTTGTTTAATAAAGAAAAAGCACTCTCCATAAGAAAGCCTTTTTCTATTACTAAAGTGTAATTACAATTGTGGAAAAACAAATTATTGTTGTTATAATTCTATTCAAAATGACAATAAGGGACACATATATAGTACATATACAGAATACGATATAACCTATTAGGAATCTAACCTCCTACAGAACTCTATTTACTTTATTACTAGTCCTTAAGACCATAATCCCTTCGATACAAGTTGAAGAAATCACGATGTTAATATCATGTCCAACTTGTTAAAGATAGTTACCCGAAAGATCCATTTAGAGCTTTTGTAAAAGATATCTCCAAACTGTTTCACTTGTTTTTAAGGTGCCCTGTAAGAAATAAACTCTATTGTATATTTTCAACGAATCGAAATGAACAATTCCAATCTCTGATACTGTTTTTGTTCGTTCATGAGTACTGGATTTGCGATGGCAATGTAAGAGCAGCCTGATTATCACACCAATAACTTTTGTAAGGCAAGGACGACTGTGAAGCCAATTTCCTCTCAACAACTGACGAATCCAAATTATTTCACAACAGATTGAAGTCATAGCTCGATAATTTGACTTCGTCACACGATCGTGAGACTACATTTTGTTTCTTGCTCCCACGATATCAGTTTCCACCACAAAGACGACAAGTAATCCTAGAGTTGAATCTTCTATTTCTTAACCGTTCAAACACTGCCCAAAATCAGCATTCTGAAAACCAAGCTCACACAACAGTGTCCAAATGCCGCATGATTACTATATAAGGAGAGACGAAATCAGACTTTGGATTAACCTTTCAAAAGTAGCCAGACAAAATAATTGTCCTATAGAAACAGTAGGCAAGCATTGACATAAAACTGGCCTTAAGACGCTCAGAGATTAAGCAATATTGCTGGACGTGCTAACCACAGTAAGAATAAAATTCAGTTTGCACACCCCAAAATCTTCTACTAGAACATTTCAGTGAATCATCAAAAATAGCTTACTCCCACCAATTGAAAGTTGCAAGTTAGAGTCATCTGAGGCAACTGGGCAATGGCTTCGAGCAGCCATCTTTCAAGCTTGCTCCTTTAGTAAGTCAAAAACAGTACATCTTCCCTTTGAGAATAACGAAGAGTGCTCTCTTACACACCTAGATAAGTTATACTAATAAACCGAAAGTACTTCAACAATCCAAAAGCTCTTTTGTCTGGAAACGTGACTTTGGCAGGTATTATGACTTTGAGTTGATGTTGCACTGCGAGAAAATCTACTCCCTGCTCAAATAACAATGTCGAACAGACATAAACCAACAAAGTTAAGACATCATAACCAGTTTTAAGGTACTGTGCTAAATTAAATGGATATAGACACTGATCGGAAGAAAGTACTCTTTTTGTGGGCACATGCAAAGATTTGGTGGTTAACCACATTGGCAAAATCTCCAAAAACCAAGCTCGAGAGAACTTCTGTTGTTTACGGAACATAAACGAGATTTTTCCGAAGTTTACAAACTTTATCCAACTCGCCCCTGAGTCAACAAAGCCTGGTGGTTTGCTCATGTAAAAACTTTCCTCCTGAAGATCCCCAATAAGAAAGGCATGAAGAAAGGCATTCTTAACATCCAGCTGATGTAAAGGCCAGTCAAAAGTAGCTGCTAAAGAAATAAACAAACGAACAGAAGACAATTTGGCTACAAAAGAAAAAGTATCAGAGTAATCAAGGCTATAAATCTGAGAATAGCCCTCAGCAACTAATCGAGCCTTGAAACGGGCAACAAATCCATCAGGATTCATTTTAACTACGAAAACCCATTTACAACCAATAGCTTTCTTACCTGCTGGGAGAGGCACAAGATCCCAAGTACCATTAGTATCTAAGGCAGCTATCTCCTCTTTCATTGCTGCACACCAACCATCATTTGCTGCACATCCCAAGTACCATTAGTATCTAAGGCAGCTATCTCCTCTTTCATTGCTGCACACCAACCAGGATGGGACAAAGCTTGGATAACAGTTTTAGGAGTAGAGACAAAGTCTAGGCTACTTACAAAACAACGAGATGAAGGAGAAAGATGATCATAACTAAAAAAAGAAGAAATAGGATAGGTACACTTGCATTTAAATTTTCGAAGAGCAATGGGAAGGTCAATGTCTAACTGAGGAGCGGATGGCACAGGCTCAAGTTGAGTGGAGGGAACCGGATCTTCTGTTGAAGTGATAGGTAGGGGAAGTGAGTCAAGAGTTCCTGGTCTCCTGGAATAAACCTATTCAAAATGAGGGCGGACAGATGCTGGTGCAGGAGGTGGAATAGGAGGAGCAGACGCTGTAGCAGGAGCAGATGCAAGTTCAAGAACAGGAACAGAAGCAGGAGAGCCAGGAAATTGCTGGATAGTGTAGACTAAAAGCTCATCATCATATATAGGAGAAGGAAAAAATGGAGTATTCTCAACACATGTGACGTCTACAGAAATAAGATAACGGTCAAGATTGGGAGAAAAACAACGATATCCCTTTTGATGCTGAGAATACCCAAGGAAAACACAACGAAGGAATTTTGAATCTAATTTGGAAACTTGTGGACAAACGTCACGAACAAAACAAGTACAACCAAAAATACGAGGTTCAATAGAGAATGGAAGTTTAGAAGGATTTTGATGTCGAGAATACCCAAGGAAAACATAATAAATGGACTTTCGATCTAATTTGAAAACCTGTGGGCGAACATCATGAACAAACAAGTACAACCAAAAATATGAGGTTTAATGGGGAATAAAAGCATAGAAGGAAACAAGACACTATAAGGAATTGCACCATTATGCACAGAAGAAGGCATGCGATTAATCAAAAAACATGCAATAGAGACAGCATTTGCCCAAAAATGTTTAGGGACCTTTATTTGGAAAAAAAAGTGCCATAGCAACCTCAAGAAAATGTCAATATTTTCTTTATGCAACCCCATTTTGAGGACTATCAACACAAGATGTTTGATGGAGAATACCATTCTGTGACATCTAAGATTGGAAGGAACTAGATAGATATTCTTTAGCATTATCACTTTGCAATATGCAAATAGAGGCATTAAACTCTCAGCGTAAAAGGAACAGAAAATAGAGAATATCTCAATACGAATGGTCATTAAAAATAATCAAGTAACACGAGAATAATCATCCACAAAAGTTATAAAATATCGAAAGCCAGTTTTAGAAATAACAGGACATGGACTTCAAACATCAGAATGAACTAACTCAAAAGGGGATGAAACCCGTTTATGGACTCGAGGAACTAAAGGTAAACAATGATGTTTGGCAAATTGACAAGATTCACATTCTAAAATTGATGAAGACTGAAAATGCAAACACAACTTCTTCAAAGTGGACAATGAAGGATAACCCAAACGACAATGAACCTTAAGAGGAGAGAACCTCAAGAGGAGAGAGAGCACCAACACAAGCCAGAGATGACGAAACTTGTTCATCCCGAAGATAAAGGCCACCAGACTCACGTCCTCTACCAATAATCCGCTTCGTTAAAAGATCCTGAAACACACAATAGGTAGGATAAAATTTAACACAACAATTCAGTAGACGAGTAATTTTGCTAACAGATAATAGATTGAACGAAAAATGAGGCAAACAAAAAAAAAAAGAAGACAACGGAAGAGAAAGGATGGGATTGGCGGTGCCAATACACTTGACAGAAGATGTGGACCCATCAGCTAGAGTAACATGACGATTAAATTGTTCAAGTTCTTTTAGTGAGGATAAGAGACTAGGGTTTAGGGTTACCGTCATATGACATGTGCAACCAAATCAATGGACCCACTCTGACCCACTCTGATGAGGTAGACATAAGACATATAATAGGAGCACCTGAATTGGCAGCAACAGCAATTGAGGAATCAGTAGACTTAGAAGAACGGTATCTAAAGAGCTCAGGATACTCCACAGCAGAAATTATTACAGTGTTCTCAGAAGAAGTAACTGTAGAATCTTGAGTGGCTATATTTGCCCTTGGCGGCTTATTTATCAGTTTCTTACAATACCATTTAGTGTGACCAGGTTCATGGCAATAATGGCAGATAAGAATGCTTGCCTCCCGATTAATTGTTCCATTACTACGATTATTTCCTTCTCTTCCTCTGTTTCCTGACTGTCTAACTATCTGATTACGACTCACAAGGGCACTATTATCATAAGGGGAAGGGATATGAGAACCTTCAGTACGTAGTAATCTAGCGAAAGTCTCCTGAAGAGAGGTAACGTCGCTGCCTGAAAGAACTTGTGATTTGGCAGTTTCAAAAACCGGCGTAAGACCTGCAAGAAAACTCATTACAACCATTTGTTCTCGCTAAGTCTGTTGAACCTTAACATCGGGACTAGAAGGCAATAAAACATTAAGTTCCTTATAAATCTTCTTAAATTCCATGAAATAAGCTGTGAGAGGCTTATCTTGCTGGTCGGCCCGATAAAATCCTTTGCAGACCTCATACATACGAGATAAATTACCTTTTCCCGAGTACAAAAATTCAAGATAATCCATCAGTTCCTTAACAAACTCACAATGATTAATTAAGCCAATTACCTCACTGTTAATCAAATTCCGAAGCTGTAAAAATAATCGAGCATCCTCTCTAAGCCAGATTTGCCTAGCATCTCCTTCAGGTGGATCATTGGTCAAGTGGTAATCTTTACCCAAACTATGAAAATATATACGAACTGTTTAACTGTTTTACTCCATGCCAGAAAATTGGACCCAGTAAGTTTGTGTTCTGTTATTTTATTCAGTAATGGCACCACATCAGTGATGACAGGTTTCGATTCGGAAGTCTCTGGTGGAGTAGTCGTCATGATTTGTGATTAAACGCTCAAAAACAAATGTAGCACAACAAAGGAAAACTACAATTCTTGGTAACTTGATAGCAGAATAGCAAATAGGCAGCAGCAAAATATAAATCCACAAATTCAGACTGTACCCGGCAAAGCAACAGCAAAGGGGCAGCACGAAAAACACCACAAAAGTCAAAGAGGGCCGACGCAACACACTGGGTTGCACTGTACACTGTAGCAAATAGGCAGCAGCAAAATATAAATCCACAAATTCAGACTGTACCCGGCAAAGCAACAGCAAAGGGGCAGCACGAAAAACACCACAAAAGTCAAAGAGGGCCGACGCAACACACTGGGTTGCACTGTACTGGCAGAATTGACGCCGAAAACTGAGAGCCAATGACAGGAGATGGCCGGACGCGCCCGCACGCGCCAGCACGTGAAGAAGAGCGAAAAAATATGAGTGGCGCGTGAAGCCCACTCGCGAGGATTCCTGTGACTGGATTTGGAGGGAGAGCCGATTAGCGGCCTGCCCTTCTTCCTTGGGTGGCGGTGAGACAAAAACACCGGCCTATGTGGGTGACCTAGACTGACAGTCACCAAAAAACACACTCAGCCTGTAGTTTCAACGCAAAAGAGCAAAGAAAAAAAAAAACTTAACGAACCCCCAACCCCCCCGGCTCTGGTACCATGTAATTCAATCTGGAAAAAATATTGTTGCTGTATTTTCATCAATAGGGACACATATATATACATATACAGATACTATAAACCTATTAGGAATCCAACTCCTAATAGAACTCTATTTACAACTAGTCCTTAACATCTAGAAAGCAATCAATTAATCACAAAATGAGAGAACCAATCATCCAGCCTCACCTCTCCAGTAAATTTTATGACCTAGATCCTGTTTCCAAATCCTCAATTCATATTTAACCCCTGCATATGTTTTAGACTCTGTGCATCTATCCCCGTCTCAGATGTATCCTTAATGATACCGAAATATTCAAGCCATTTAAGTTTTTGACTTTGCAGCTAAGTTTTCTCATGCATATAAAATATCTCAAAAATGTTTATTTGGTCCCTAAATCTATTAATTCTATACTGAATAGAATGTCTCTAAATAACTGTATACCTAGAACCAATAAGCCTCCAAGTAAAGCAGATATGATATAAAAAAAAAAAAAATGACCCTGACCTTGATTTCAAATATGATTATCACATTTTCATATAAATCCTGCTAACTTCGCACAATGCATAAATATTTCAATTCAAACCGTTTTACAATTCAAATTCATAGGAAAAAAGTCATCAGTTACCAATATTAGTTCAGATGATTATATGAACCAAAATTTCGCAGATTTCAGAACTCGCACTCTTTCGAGTGAACACCCCTAGCCCAGTAACCATTAATAAAATAAAATAAATAAAAAAAGCAAAGCAACTTCCTTTCAGTTACCTACTATTATCCAAAAATCAAAAGTGGAAAAGGATGACAGACCTGAAGCTTCAAACCCACCAAGCTCAGCCTGCTCCAAATACGCCCTGTTAGCCGCACAACCCAGGAAAGTCTCCCTTAACGCCGCCTGTAACGGTCCCAAAGGCGGTGGTCTAGCCTCAAAAGCCTTCAAAAGTTTTCTAACCTTCAAATTCAAGGCAGCATAATGACATCTATCCCCATCAAAAGTATGCTCAGAGCAAATGGCTCCACTCTCGAGCAACATTCTCGCAGTGTCAAGGTGGCCCGCCAGACAAGCATAGTATAAGGCGACAGAGTCCCATTGGTCCCGCGCGTTGACATTCACGCCGGACTCCAGTAAGTACTTAAGGCGGTCAACATCGCCGGCACGGGAGGCCTCAAAAAGGTCGCCGTTAGGGACCTTTTTAAGGGGGAGAGAGGAGGTGAAATCTGATGGTTCTAAATCGATTTCGTCGAGTACTGCTTCAAGAGTCCATCCGGATTGGCGTTGTGCCGTTGGAGACATTTTCATTTAAATTTTTTGTGGGTTTTCTTCTGTTTGTAACAGATTTATCAGTTTTCCACGCAATAATAATTATTGGGATTTTAACAGAGACATTTTTGCTGTTGGAAGGGTTTTAGGAAGTGAGAAATCGTAGCTGAGGTTCAAGGATGATAACGTCCCAAGCCTAAGGTGTTCACGGTTGGCTTTGGAAGACTGTTATAAGTAAAAATATAAGTAGATCCTTAAATTATAATGGATTCCTTTAATTTTTTAAAATTTTTAACTTAAATTCTCAACTTTACTGGGAATCTTATGTACAACTAAATGAAAATCCGAGCGTTGCACAGTTTACACCGAAACAAAGAAATAAATATCGATTATCAAAATAAATATTGTTATTTTAATAATTATCATTATCAATAATAATTTTCTTTCTCGCTTTAATATATACTAGGATTTTATTTATCACTATAATAAAAATCTCAAAATAATTAATTAATTGAACTTTTAAATATTTAAATTCTTTTTTTTCTCTTTTCTTAGTTATTAAAATATCATATTTGCAAATGGGACTAAAAATATCAATTGGCTGTAGGCATTTGTTTCTATTAGATATTACACTTTGCGTTGCAACTTTAATTAACATGTTGAGTACCTGTGTTTTGCATATATTTTTTATTTATTCGTCTTCTTTTTTAGCCCAAACGACTCAATTAATATATGTTCATCCTTAAATGCTTTACAGAAGGCCTAGTTTTTACCTATAGAGGATCCAACTCTTACAGTATTAAATGGTAAACAAAGAAGAAGAGAATTAAATAAAATGATAATCAAGACATTTGAGTCGTCAAATCTTTTAGTAAAAACTACAAACATTTTGTGTGAACTTTCCAAGCAATTCAATTACATTCTAAATCTGACTTTATATATGAAATTCAAAGTATACAACACATTCTTAACTCTATTCATCACTAGTCTTAATGTTAAAATAATGACACAAGAGGTTTTTGTACTTGCTCTGCATGTCATGATTCATCTTCAACAGCCTCAGCAGCAGCTATTTCAGAGTCCAATTTATTCATCAGTTGCTCGCTTATATGTCGTGCCACGGATATCATGTCTGAAATAACACTTGGATCAATGCCGGCGCCTCCTCGTTTTGTCAACCCGCAAATATGCCCTTTCCTATTGATGGAAACAGAAACAGCAGAGGTCATCTGGGATTCCTCTTCTGAAGTAGCATCTACAATATAGTGCCTTCCCACCTACATGTTAGAAAAGCAAATGAAGATGAAAAAGAATTTGGTTCTTGAAAGCATGTGAGATCAACAGTTTAACAGTATTACCTTTGTTAATGTAACTATGACAGGGACCTCCGACGTGTCAAATTGAAGAAATTCTTCATCACTAATGTCAACCTCTGGTTGCTCATCGCCTGATGCACCAGCTGCGACATGGACCCTTGGGATGCATGTATTGCTCAAAGCAGCCTTTGGGAATAAAAATAAGTGCATTATATCAGTAACTAGTGTAAGCCAAAAAACTGTCTTATTCCAGCGAAATTCTTTGAAATATGATATTATCAATGTATTTGCAATAAAAATACAATCACGGATGATTGTTAGAACCTTTGAAGTCCCAACGCTTAATCCATTACTTAAATTACAAACCATTAGTTCTAATATGAAAGGTGATTATTATTCTAGTACAATAAAGGTTTTATTTCAACTTGCTGATATCAAATGTAATACAACCATCCCCGCATAATTATTGGTAAAGGTTTTTATTTTAGCAGATTAATAAGCTTTTCTGCAAATAGAAGAAGAAAATATGTTGGAGGGGGGGGGGGAGAGATGTTACTTTTTAAAAGTAATAGGACTCAAATGAAAATTCAGAAAAAAGGGACAAACAAATTTATCTTATCTTGAACTAATACAATTTGGCAGTTACTACTAAAATTTGATGGAGGTTTCATTGTAAAGCTAATGATGAGCTACTTTAAATTTATCAGGACTTAATTAAGAAAAAAATGCTGTCATCTTCCACATTTAGTATATTCTATAGAAAAGATAAAAGGATCCATTTAGATATATAAGAATTTAAAGACATATATGAATTTCAATTATATTAGTATTTTACAATTTCTCACTTAAAAGGCAAATCCAAAATCCACTTTCATTTCAAATGCACACTACCATAAGGAAAAAACTCAAAAAAGTCCTTGAAGATTTAGCACTTCCACATTTCAAGCAAAAACAAATTTTGTCATCACTTTAGTATCTAAGACTTGGTCCATTTTTACTTGATCATTGTCATAGTATCCTCTTGCCATGATATAATACCAATTTAATATGAGATTATTTTCTTAGTTTTTTATCTTTATTCTAAAATGATATTTCATCTTCAAAAGAAAAAGTGGTCGACACAACACCATGTAGCTACCTACATAATCAATCTTAATTGTCATTTTACAACACATGGAGGACACATAGAAGTATAATTTTAATAGAACTAGCAAAAAGCAAACTAATTAAACCTCAAGTATTAAAATGACATTAAAGAAAACAAACTATCAAAAAAAGTGAAAAGGTGTTCAACCACAAAGCATATTTTTGAACTTTCCCAATATGTAATCCTTTTCCTTTTAAAGGTTTGTAAGTACCTTAATTGCAGCACCTAGAGCATCTAGAAGATTTCCATCTGAACTGATGACAAGACCATCAATATAAAGATCCCAACAGACTTTTCCTTCTGCAACTACTAAAGATGATAGATCAATTCCAGCCCCTGAGACAATTTCAACCATTTCATGATTAACTTATGCAGCAAGGACCTAAATAACAATATATCATTACTGCAAATGGGAGGGGAAAAAAAAGACTACTAGGACGTTTGGTTCAGCTGATTTATGCAACAGATAGTTGATTCATACCCAACAACTAGGTTATAGATGTTTGATAAGGATTTTAATCGGTAGCTGATGTAAGTCCCAATCATTAGTTGATGAAATCAGCTACATATTGGAGCTTTTTCGTATCAGTTGGTAATTGTTTGTGTCTATATTATATTTGGATCCAATTATCCTTATAAAAATAATTACTAATAACATTAAATTTTTTTCAAAAATTAATACTTTTTATCATTAATTTTATTTATAGTAATTTAAAATTAATAAATTTCTATTAAATATTATATAAAAAGTTCAATTAGCATTTTTTATTTATATAACACACTAAGATAAAAAAATATATTTACTTTAAAAATTAATTAAAAAATATATACATTATTCAGTATAATATATAAAAAAAAAGTATACCCTTAATGGTTATTTTAAATTTTAACAGCAATAACTGCCAAAAATTTTATCAAACACCAACACTCATTGGCTAATTGCTATAAGCCCTACCAGCTATCAACAAGCACTATCAACTAGCAGTTGGTCTAAACAGTTAAACCAACGGGGCCCTACATGAGCCAACAGAGTTATGGCTATTGATTGTTCTACAAACAATACAGACCTACTCCACTTTTACTGCCCAAGAGACAACGTTGAAGAGCAACTGAAAGTTCTGCTGACAGGTCTTCACCTCCTCTCCCCTGCGTAAAGTTGTCAATATAGGAATAACTTAAGCAAAAAAAAAAAGATGCAAACTATGTACAATCAGTTCTTTTTTACAGAAATGGTAAACATCCAGTTTCAAGGGCGCCAAAGAACCTTATATAGCATCTGCACAAGTCAAATTGAAACAGAGAGAATTTCCAAGAAAGTTAACGACAGTATATATTAAGAAAATTCTTTGATCGGCATGAACATGTGCATGGTACATTTAACAATGAGGTGCCAATTCCTATCAAGTGCCACAAATGTTTTAAGTTGACTGTTGATGAGAAAGTACATCAATTGTGGCAATTTGATCATAGATGATTGTTAAGATGAGGCAACGTCAAACAGGCATCTATTAAAAGGGTAGCGATGTTAGAAAGTAAAAGATAAAACAAGCAAACCTCAAACATTGGTTCAGCAACTGGACTGCAATCAACAAATATAGCAACCTTTCCCTTGTCAGGATGCAATGCACTTGGCTTTCCAAGCTCAGCCTGCAGTTAAACAAAAAAGCAATGCATTTGAACCTTGAATAGAAAAAATATCTAAAAAATAAACATATTATTTCAAAATCTCAAGGAAAGTAGGTATTTTAGATAGTTAATAAAATACCTTCACACTAGCAATAACCTCCGTTGTGCCTATCCTAACTCGTGCTGAGCCATTTGCCTATAATGAAACCCATTAAAAAAAAATCATTTAAAAGGGAGGATAAAAGTACAAAACAACAAATAACAGGTCCACTTTACTATCAATGAATGTAGACAGAAGGATTGACTACCTGAGGGATGACTCCAGTTTCAACAAAAATGGGTCGGTAGGCATCTCTTTTCCGACCATCAGAACGAAGATTTTGATTGATGCCACCCTGTATAAAATGCTTTTCTCCAACAGAAAGTCCTATCATTTCTTAACATTAACAATTAAAACAAACAAATAAATAAATATACAATGACTGCCAACTGGTAAGGCATACAATAGGAATCAAAAGACAAGGAAAAGCAACTAACAGAGACTGACTCAAATTTCAGAACTGTCAATCTCACACGGACAATTTTACAAATAGGTGGTGAGCATTATCAAATTCCCAAAAAGAACACATCAAAGGCAGAGAAAGATGTTCTAACAGAGAACGATGCATTAAAATGAGATGGAAGGAATTAAAATCAAACATCTAGTATTTGTTACCTTAGGTTTGAGTGGCAGTTCAATAGCAACCAAAACTAACCGGTCAGGGACAGTAGAGTAGTGCTCAGGTGAACCGGAGGAAGTGACGCGTTTGTGAAATGGGAGCGCCGGTGTAGTGGTAGTAGTAGGCTGATGATGCGGTGAGGTTGTAGCTCTGTAAAGGGCCGGAAAATTGAGGTAGTTTAAGAAGGGGGCCTAATGCATTATATGACCCAAGACGTGTGTTTTTTTTTTTTTTTTTTTGTTTAAGAAGGGGGGCCTAATGCATTATATGACCCAAGACGTGTGTTTTTTTTTTTTTTTTTTTTTTTTTTCGATTTCAACCAATTTTACGCCAATTATATCCTTCATCGCATACTTGTATTAGCACCCTATAACTCAAAAGAGAATGACTTGCTTAAACACGGATCAAACTAATGTAAAGTAATTTTTTTTTAATGAATATATTTTTTACCAGTGATGTAAACAAGTGGCGTTGAAAGTTGAACTAATGCAAAAAAATTTTGAGCTCGAACTAATATTGATTAACATCGGAGGTTTGGAGTTCGCGTAAACCTAAAATATTATATATAAAAAACTCGATAACTTGTGAGCCCGCTTGTGGAGTGTTGGTTGAGATGATGGTGTGGTGGTGGCTGTTATGGTTATGGTGGTGAATAATAGAGTTTAAGGTTGAATTTAGTTAAAGTTTAATTTTTAAGAGATTGTAAGTGAATGTCAATTATATAGATTTTTATGATAAAAGGCTATAACATTATTTTAAAATAATGATAAATACAATTGTAGTATTCATTACTTTACGGAGTAAAAAAAAAATCCATCAAAACATTGCAACCAACTGTGTAATGTAATATTCATTTTATTATACAGTTTATTACATTGAATCAAATATAGTAAAATTAAGTAAAGTTTTTGTGAATTTTCTTGAGAACGTGATAGTAAGCACCTTATAATATTGGATCTTGCAACCAATTTATCAAATGCTGAATATTTACGTTTGAATTTTACAATTTTAAATACTTTGAATTGGTGTATGACCTATTATGCATTTAAAATTATAAATTTTATTAATATTGTAACATTAACACGCTAATTTTTAGGTTTTTTTTAATTTTTCTATGTAAAATAGACTCCATATGTCATTAGTATAATTTTCAATAAAATAAATATCTTGGGAATCGAATAGGACAAAAATTAGTTTGGTAAAATTCTCCCAAAGGTAGGGAATTTATCTAAGGGCACTGATATTATGAGCTAAGTCGCTTAATCTAACATGTGTTTAATTGATTTAACTTTATAAATTGAAATATTTAATAAATTCTATTCAAATAAAAATATAAAATGCCACGATGTTAAAATAATAAGTAAAATAATGGGATGAAATTATAGAAAAAACTCATCTAAATCTGTCCAGACTTCATTCATGAACTAAGCAAATGAAATTGAATTTTTTAAAAAGTGTTCTATCATTTTTTCAATTATATGGTAAAAAATATATCCATTTTAATAAAAATATTAAATTTTATTAATTTATTCTATAGTTGGAGCCTTACGTCCATTAAAGTTTTTTCTGAAATTATATACCCCGCCCTTTGTCAAAACAGCTTAATATCATTCCAGCAGTGGGCGGTTTTCCTACAACGTCCCATCGGGTGCATCGTGATATCAACAATCCATTTCTTATCCCATGCTACATGCGTGTATTTCACACTTCCTGTGTGAACTTCCAATCATTCATGTCATATCTATTTAAACGACACGTGGATTTTTCGTTCCCTTGTATTAATGCATTGACCAATAAGGCATTGATATGGCACGAAAGCAACTAGTGATGCCCACAGCATATCTTATCTCTCATCCCATCGCATCTTCTCTTTCTATCATGGGAAATGTTGCCGTATGAACTTCATATCGTGCGCAGAAAAACTTTCCCTGGAAGTTAACACGACGTTACTATGCAACTTTTTCAGCTAAAAGAAACTGCCACGCCCAAAGTTCTTTTTCTCGGCTATCGCTCAACCGCTCAACGATACACTGCATTAGCTCACCTCCATTCAAGCCTGGTATGTTTTTCTTCTTTTTCGTTTTTGAATAGAATTTCTTTTTGAAGCTTTTTTTTTTTTTTTTTTTTTTTTTTTTAAGAATTTTCTTTTGAAGCTTTGTTTTTTTTTTTTTTTGTTTGTTGGCTTTTTTTTTTTTTTTTTTTTTTTTGTTGGCAGTATTCTTTTTGAAGCTTTTAACTGAGGTCTAACTAACTTGGAGTTGTTTGGCTGTTGAGAAAATGCAGGAAAACAAAAGAAAAGTTGAAGTTTAGAGTATTGTTGAGCATTTTTTCTAAAGTGCAATTACTCTTTTTACAGATGGTACATAACCTAGGCCACTTTCAGGAAAAATTAAAATAAATAATAAAAAAAAATGAAAAGCAGAGTCACTGATTTAGTTTAATTTTATCCTTTCGATTCAGTTTGTATATGGAAGGAAAAACATGGTTACATGTTATTTATTACTGCTTTAGCTTTTATTTCTCGACTTATGCTTAATTTTCTTTGTTTTCTCAGCAACGAAACGGAATCTCAGTGGAAAAACCTTTTTTTCACTCCCTTTAGTTTTCTCTGTTTCTATTTCTGCTCGCTTCCCTTTCTTTTTCTTTTTCTTTTTCTTTTTTGATTGATCATTGGACATTGCTCGTCAGGGTCTTTTTGGGCTACTACTTACCAGTAATTGCTTAGCCAGCAAAGAAGAATTAAACGAAGTTGAGAGTAGGTTTTGGTGTGTACTTAATGGCACCGTCTGATGAGGAGGGTGAAATATTGCCGAAGCATGTGTCAAGTTATTATTTTGTTGATAGCAAGGATGTACCGGTCTCGTTTACGATTTTGCCGGTCCAATGGGATGTAAGCGAGGAGTTGGCCAACTTGGAATACGTAATAGTTTTGCGTGGGACTTGTTGTAATGGGATTCAGCTGTTAAGAATTAATCTCAAATAATTCAATAATAACCTAGATCGTGCAAACCACTAGATTCAACAAAATAGATTGAATAAGAAAAGGTTGCGTACCGTGTGCGTACCTGACATGTTGTTCGCTCGATCTTGATGTATAAAATAGTTAGGTTTGCAGCCTTCCAGAGAATTGAAGAATCGATTTAGCGGAAGCAGTACGAAAGGAACGTAAAACTGAATCGTATTCAACTCTTCTGGGGACCAGGACCTTTATATACCTGTAGGGTTAGTACAATTCCTATTTCAGTCCTTTAACGAAATAGAAATTATATAATGGTCTCTCCACTTAATATCTATAATTAGTTGACACCTCAATAGTCAATTATTCACAATCAAGACCACATTTGAAATTGACTTTACAATTGGACTGTTGTACATATTTAATTTTACATATTAAGCCCACAATCCACAATAGAAAATTAAATCCAACAATTTGATCTAATACTTTGTTCTCAATATATTTGAATCGGGCTGCCTCTGAAACCATTTGGATAAAAGAAACTAGAGGTTTAGCAATGTCTGCTGGTAGAGAACTTTTTTGAAGATCATATATGTAATTATGATCAGGGATATCTTGATTACAGTTCACTGGCTTCATTTCATTAAGAAGAATCCGGATGCATGTGAGAGATCAGTGTGGAACCATTTGCAAAGGACCTTCAGGTTTAAATTTTATTCGTTTATGTATAATTTATCTATTAACTATGTAAATCTTTGTTTGCTTCTAATAATTAAGCTTTTGCATTTTGTAGCTCATACGAGGTACCACCCTCCGAGGATGACTTGTTGAATCAGAAGCTATTAATTAAGGAAACAGCAGGAAGGGATGAAGAGTTACAAGCATCTAAGGTGCGAACTCTTACTTATGGTAGATTCTCTTGTTTACTCTTTAGTTTGCAGTGGTTGTTCTTAGAACATTCTATTCATACTTCAGTATATAAGATAATGGATTTTTTTTTTTTTTTTTTTTTTTTTTTTTTTTTTTTTTTTTTTTTTTTTTTTTTTTTTTTGAGTTGAATGTCTATGACTACAGAAAGAAAGAATGAAAGATTATCACATTTATCTAGCTTTTAATTCTTACTGATGAATGAATTAGTCATTTTCTTACCATTAAAGCAATATACAGAGTTATTAAAAACTGAAATTCTGGAAAGGATCCTTTAGGTATGAGAATGTAAGAAGTTCAGCCAAGTTACAAAAACCTGGAAGGTAGAAAGTACCTGTATTGACCAAAGTAGGGTAAGGTATCACTAACTTTGTACTGTTCCGCACCAAAATAGATTCTGATGTTGATTTGCCTCCGTTTAGCTCCTTTTTGAATAAATTTGAATCTTTTTGTTATGTTCTCAAATTCAGCTTGTGAAATACTCTAAGATGATCTCAATTTTTTGGGTTCTTATGTTATTCCGCATGGGGCTGTTCTCTCCTGTTTGGATTACGATTACCAATTTTCTCTACATGCGATCTTGTGCAATCTGATATGTAGAATGACTAATCTTTTGAATAGGCTTTTCGTGTCTTTGTTGGGAAGTGTGAGACTGGCATGTCCTTTTATGCGGTTAGTGCTTGCAGATAATTCTCGCTTCCATATCATCTCAGTGTCCGCACCTCCTCCTTTTCTTTTCCTTAATGTATTTCTCTTTCTTTTTTTTAAAAAAAAAAAAATGAAGAAATTTTCATTTGGTTGGTTTAACAGGATGCTCAAACAACAAAAATTGACAATGATGATCACAATGAAGAAGAGAACATCTTTGATAAAGTTTGTGCAATTTGTGATGATGGTGGTGACATTTTGTGGTATGCTTTCATTTCACAGTTTCAATTTTTTTTCTGTGCAGCTTTTGCATCATTTTCTTTTGTAATATTTTTATGCATTTCTGGCTGCTCAATGCTTCTTTTCTCTGGAATTTCTATTTATTGGTGGAATATGGATGTTGATGAACATAATGGAAATTGCTCTGAAATCTGGCAACAAAGATAGTTTTAGGTTTCAGTTTATTATATTTGTGGCATTTCTTTTATTACTTGTTTTATATGGGCCTGCTTTGAGCATATAACTGGCATGAATCATATGATTACATTTGTAATTTTAGAGTGTCATAGAAAAAAAGATTTAATAAAAAAGAAAACAAGGTACCTAGAATTTTCTTAGAAGCTATCATGTGATATACGATAAACTGTTTGATCTTTTGTTATCCAGGTAAAGAATGAAATTACATGTAATTTCTCAGAACATGACCAGATTACGGCCCCTTAGTGGGTCCTAAAATTTTGACTTTCTGCATTCAAAGAATAGACACTTAGAAAAAAGCACAGCAACTAGCAAGCATATTGGCACTAGTAAGGAGGCTTATGTTGTTGAGATTTTTTCCTGATGATTCATCCCAAATTTTTTTGTCAAGTGTGTTTTATCATATTGCTTTTGTAAATCTTATTAGTGGATCTAAGTTGAGCACATTTGTTTTACTTACACCTCGCCTTCCTACAGGGGCCGTTAGAGATAATGATGCCTTTCTTTTTACCCAATAATGTATCGTTTATCATTTTGTTTCCTTCTGTTATATGATCTGATTTCATGCAGTTGTAATGGGAGGTGCTTGAGATCATTTCATCCAACTGTTGCTGATGGGTTGGAATCTCATTGTGCATCCCTTGGGTTTAGAAATAAGGCTGAATATGAAGTAAGGACCTTATACAATGAATATAAATAAACTGGTTCTTTTTCACTAATTTTACTTCAATTTCTATTATTTTGCCTTTAAGAAAGATATTGTGAATATCCCATAAACATAAAACAGTTGCATTTTGTTTTCCTAAGCATTTCAGGCAAACATAAAACAGTTGCTTTGTCATGCATGTGCAGGCAATTCAAATGTTTTTGTGCAATAATTGTCGTTATGAGCAACATCAGTGCTTTGCTTGTGGCAGATTAGGCTTTTCTGCTAAATCTGCTAGTCAACAGGTAAATATTCTACTAGTTTTTGGACAAGTTTTTTTTATCTTATTTTGTTTATTTTTACCCTCTGAGCTTTAGCAACTTTCTGGTGATTTGCACAGGTGAAAATACTTTATTACATGAAAAAACAAATTGTGTATTATGACCCTGGGCATTGTCATGTTAAGAGGAATATGCATAGACCGTGGTGATAAGTTAAACTTGGACTTTGAGTTTGGAACGACTTGCTTTTTTAGTGTGTGACCTACAAATTATTTACTATAGCGATAAGTTTTCAGCAACTTGGGCCACTAAATGGATCACATCAATCACTGTTTTCAGAGTATCGAGGATAACATTATTTTAATAACACTTTCCTGCTGCATAAGAATTCATAAGAGTTGCATAGAAGTGAATCTGATTGTCTCATTGATGTTGAGAAATCCATCTCTGTTTTGCTAAATATTCATGCATGTCATTCTGCAGGCCTTGCATTCTATATAAATATGTTTGGTGCAATGAAAAACATAAGGCACTGTGTTTAAATACTCTTTCTTTTTTCTCTTTTTGTTCTTTTGACTGTCTTGAAGGTCTTTCCTTGTGCTTCTGCTACTTGTGGTCACTTTTATCACCCAGAATGTGTTGCAAGACTGCTTCATATTGGTAATAAAATTGAAGCAGGAAAAATACTCAGAGCTAAAATTGCTGCAGGAGAGTCTTTTGTTTGTCCTGCTCATAAATGTTTCATATGTAAGCAACGTGAAGTTGCTGAAATTAAAGAGATGCAGTTTGCAATGTGTAGACGCTGTCCTAAAGCATACCACAGGAATTGCTTACCTCGGTATATTCTTGTAGTTTTCACTTTTCAAAATCTTATCATGAAAGTTAATGTTGTTTGACATGTTGGCTTTATCTTTAGGGATATTGTTTTTGGACATGATAGCAATACAACTAATCTACAAAGGGCTTGGGAAGGTCTGTTGCCAAATGGAAGGATTCTGATATACTGCATGTAAGAATCATTTTGAAATTCTTCTATAATCAAGCTTATTTTTTCTGGTTATGCATCTTAGACTAGATGTCATATGCAACTTGGATGCAAATTGTTTTTACCAGGGAGCATGAGATTGATAGACAACTATCGACTCCTCTTAGAGACCATCTATTATTTCCTAATGATGAAAGGACACACACTTCAAATCTTGAATTGAGGCAAAGAAAGCTTGTAATATCAAAGAGAAGCAAGGTTTCTGAAGGCTTAGTTAGAGATAGAACCTCTATGAAGAAGCGAAAAAAAGTGAAACAGAATTGTGATGAAATTGGTGGTTTTTCCAAAATGTACAAAAGATTCCCATCACAAGATTTTGAATGCTTGAAGAAATCAAATATAATTGATCGAGCTAAAACAGAATTGGAGAAGAATGTTACCTCTGTCTCTGCTATGTCAATCGCTGAAGACACTAGTAGTATAATTTTCAGAAACAAATCCCCGGTAAACTCAAGACCTTATCCACCGAAAACAAAAGTGCAGAATGTCTCCAGCAGCAAAATCGAGATTACTGTTCCTGATAAGCCATTAATGAAAAAAGTAAACAATTCATCGCCTTTAGTTGATATTGAAATGGAGAAAAGGTAATTATTTATCTTCATATTCTCAAACATGAATGTCAAGATGTTTTTTTCAAGTGTGTTTGAAGAAAAAAATTGAACAATTAAATTGGAAGTTCATTTTTAATAGGGCATTTTCCCATTTGATATATAGGATTCTGGCTCTCATGGATCACGTTGACTCCTCATTTGACATTGGCAAATTTACAGAAAGGAATAACCCAAATACACATTTGTGCTGCTCCAGAACTTTACTGGATAAGTCCATTACACTAGGATTGGTGGAGGGTTCTGTGAAGGTATATCTTCGTTAAAATGTAGATGCTAATGTGAAGATGTGGATAGTAATAATATATGAGCGCATACCTTCATTGGGAAGTAATCCCACATTGAATAATTATCAAATAACTAAAGGACTTATAAGCCCACATATATATAGGTCCATGGACTTTAATATGGTATCAGAGCTTCATGCCTAAATTGGTTGAACCTTGAAGCCCATGTTTGAGTCCCCACAAGATTGAAGCTGATACAGATATGTCAGCCGGTCTATTTGCCAGCTGGTCTATGTGCTAGCAAGTGGCAACCAACTTGTTTACGTTGAGCCTAGTTAGGACCAAGCTTGTGGGTGTGTTGGAAAGTGGGAAGTGTGGGGACTGAAGCTGATAGAGATATACCAGTTAGTTAAAACCAACTCTGGTGGGTGTTTTGGGAAGTGATAAGTAATATGACATTATATAACAATAAAATGATTAATGGGCTTAAGCCACCAAAGAGCCAATTGACTAATTCGATTTTGTCATTTTTAGCTCTTTCTTTTATTTTTTAATAAAAATAAGCTTAAGTTCAAAGAGGCATCCAATATTGTGCAAGCCACATTCTGTTCTCAAATAATAGTAATTTTCTTGGACGTCTAATAGTAATTTTTTTGCAGGCTATTCAAACTGCCTTACAAAAGCTAGAAAAAGAAGGATGTAGTATTGAGGATGCAAAAACTGTTTGTCAGCCTGAAATTCTCAGACAAATTTTCAAATGGAAGGTTTAAACCTCTTCTACATTTACTTTTGTCAAATATATGCTTTCGGGTTGTACTTTGCTACACTATTAATTGTCCATATCTTTCTTGCTGTGATTGTATTTATGATTGGAAGCATTAAAGGTGAAGTTTTATTTTGTGATGCTTTGTTGAATTGATCATGAAGTTTTATTGCTCTTCCATATCATATTTATGTTCATATGATTTTCTTCAAAGGTGATCTTTTGTTGCTCGAGAAGAATTGTATTTTGCTAGAAAAGTTGTATAAAGATTTACTTAAGTAGGACTACGTTGCTTCAGGAAAATGATTATTAATGACTATTGAATGATAGTTGTCATTTTTGAAGGCACGTTTATGATATCCCTTGGCATGATGCTGTGCTATAATTTAAGATAGTTTATACTTAAATTCCTGAGTATGTTTTTCCAGTTCCGCTTTACTTCTATAAAGAGGAATTTATTGGTCGAGTCCACAGCTATAATGTCCTTCGCTATGATGCTATGTGATTATTTGGGAGAAAATAAGCATGAACGCCTAAGTGCATATTTCATCTCAAGTGATTTTTACCATTCACAACATTTTGGACTGTAGTTAAATAGAACTTATTTTCCTTTTCCCAAGCTTTTAGTTATTCCTAATGGAGGAACAAAATTTTAAGCTTCTGATGGCTATACATAATGGGATTCTCTTCTCTCTTTCTGTTTACATTTGTTCGTCCTCAGTAGGATGATTAAGTGGTGCAAAGAGAGGTCTGATTCGAGGTTTCAGTGTCGATCTTGTCTCCTATTTTCAGCTTAAAAAAAGTTTTCTTTTATTGAAGGATAGGAATCATTTAATGGCCTAATGATCTTAGTTGCCCTCAACTTTGTGCATTTTTGCAACTCTATCCAGTTTGCATATTTATCAACACCCTAGCTTGTTACTAATTTCCAAAGAGTGTTAACTAAGATAAATATGTTAAAGACTGATTTGGTGGGCTAAGTCTTGGGTTGTTTGGCATCTTTAGCAGGATATACGATTGGCCTATTATTTACTTTGGGGTCCATTGAGAAATAATCCCATATTCAAGGCTTTTTCGGATCTGTGGATTGGCATATATCTTTTCCATATTTGTCTTTTGGTGTTTGTTTGTATCTTTAAGTGCCTCCTAAGATCCTTGTGGGTATTGATTCTAAGATTGAGAAGTTGATGTTAGGAGATTGTATAAGAGCTCATCTTGTCAGTTGAGAGGTATTCGAGTCTTGAAAGTTGGTATCTAAGAACATTGTCCTATTGAGCATGGTATGCAAATTCCCTTTAGAACTTCATTCCCTTAGGCACAAGAAAATTCAAAGCAACTACAATTTATAATATAAGGGCTAGGATGTCACCAAAATAGAAACTAAAGTTTCTTGTGGAAGCTTTTGAAGTTCATGTCACTATTATCTTCTTCTTCTTTTTTTTTCCTCTCTCAATGCTCATATAATGTCAAGAATGTGTTTATATGCTTTTGGGAATTCACTTGGACAAGATAGATTTCTAATTTTCTTGTGACTCTTCGGGAAAGAATACTAGAATATAGGCTCAGGGATGTTACAAAGATGTCAAAGAATCAAGTTGGATTTATGTTTGGTAGATCTACAACGGAGGATATTTACATTCGAAGAAGGTTGATGGAAATTCATAGCGAGAAAAAGGATCTATACATGTGTTCATTGACCTAGAGAAAGCTTATGACAAAATATCAAGGTACTTTTGTGGGTATTGAAAAAAAAAAAGAGTTCATACCAAGTATATAAACACCATAAGGGATATGTATGAAAATGCAATGACCAGTACGGGAACAACTGGAGGGGTATAAGTGAGCTTACCATGATAGTGGACTACATTAATGATCTACTTTGAGCCTATACTTATTTACACTAGCAATGGATAAGTTAACGAGTAATATACAAGAGGATGTTCCTTGGTGCATATTGACAAATTATAGTCCTAACTGATGAAACTAGTGGGGATTAAATTAAAAGCTGGAACTATGAAGGAGGAGTACTTGAGGATAAGTTTTTTAGCTAAGTAGAAAGAAGACGAAATACATGCACTGTAAGCCCGGTTTAAGGAAAAAGTAGGAAAGTAAGGTTAGATTAATGCATAGTTGTACCCAAGTGCAATCAATTCAAATATCTAGCTCTAGGGGGTCTCATAGATGAAGATGTTTCTCATAAAATTTCAGTAGGATGAATGAAATGGAGGAGTGCTATAGGTGTACCATGCAATAGGAAGATATATAGCGAGGTGAAAGATAGGTAGGACAGTGGTGAGATTGGCAATGTGCTATAGGAGTGAATGTTGGGCACCACATGCTCAACATAGTCACAAGATTAGGAGTTATAACATTAAACAAAAGGTGCAAGTAGCAAAAGTGAGAGATAAAATGAGAGAAGGATGCTTGAGATGGTACGATCATGTATTATGTAGACCTCCACATGCCACAGTTTGTAAATCTGATACTTTGATAGTAGAGGGTGCTGAGAAGGGAAGAGGTAGACCTATAGCTGCTTGGAGGGAAGTGGTCGTGAAGGATCTACGGTCTTTGGACATTAGTAAGGAGCTCTGAACATAATAGATGGAGATAAAAGATTCACGTAGCAGATCTTCATTAGTTGTTACCTATTTTATGTTTTGTTTCCTTTATTAATATATCAAATGATTTTAAAATTCTCATGCAAAAAATTTTCTACAAAAAGCATTTCAACTGTTCTCCGAATAAGCTTTGCTTCGCATTGATATTGATTAGAGAAAATAAAATATATTGGAAATAAATGATTCATATAGCCAACCCCAACTAATTTGGTACTCTGATATAGAATCTTGATTCTCTAAGATTCAGTTATTTCTAATTTTTATTTTCTAATAGACATTGTATTTCTTGGATATATTCTTTTTAAGAAACCTAGGAGATGGAGGGATCATGAATCTTTCCTTGGATCCTTTAGCCTTCTCCTAGTTTAGATAGGAGAATTTGCACTTAAGATAGTTCTGTAGCTTTTCAATTCTTTTTGAGACAATCTTATTTACTTGTGCACCAAATGTCTTTTGTTTTCTTTCAGCAAATCAAAATTTGGAAGTTCCAAGGTTTTGTGGAAGTGTGTTTTTTTGTTCTCCAAAGAATATAATGCTAGTGACTTGTTGCCAGATCCTCAAACCAAACAAAGTCGTCTTTTAACTTCTTGATAAATTGCACAGCTTTAGATTGTTGTTTGGGCTTATATTTTTTTTATTTTTTATTTTTTATTTTTTTAAATTTGGTGTTAAGGTGTTCGCAGATTATGATTTGAAGACATACTGTCTGTCAGAATTTGGATTCTGTTTTTGTAAGATGTGATAGATTTTCTGGGGTGTCTATTGGTTTTAGCTGATATTGAACAGGGGCATTACTTGAATAGTTGTGCTTTTGTTGCCATTCTTTTCTGGTTTATTTGAGAGGGGGACGTCTTATCCTTCAACTTGTTTCTCTTTTTACTTCATTAATAAAATCTAATATAAAAACGTATATGTTTTAAATAATTTGGCAGTTGAAGTTATCAAAACAAGTTAGAATAACATAGAATGATCCATGAACCATTTTGGTTAGTAATTACTAGCATTAAATGGATCTACATCATTCTTTGTGACTTTGAACACGGCAATTTAATGTGTAAATTTGCTAGCATATTGATCAGTTGCTCTTATATTGTAGTCGAAGCTTAAAATTTACCTTGCACCTTTTCTCCATGGAGCACGCTATACATCTTATGGACGCCATTTTACACAAGAGACGAAGATTAATGAGGTAAATGTGTCTTTTTGTCAAAAGCTATCGAATTTAGGTTGAATGTTGAAGACTTGAAGTATTCTCCTTTATCTTGGTTGGTTTGACATTGAATTAGCAAAGCACTTTTGTTGGGATAGCAATATGAGTTGACCTTGAAATACAAATTGGATCAATTTAGAGTGCAATATGCTGCTCGTGATTAACATCCAGTCAGCATAACACTGGAAATATGCACCATGCACATTTTTAAATCAATTACAAGAAAAGATTTGACACGTTATGTTAATGTAGTTTAGAGGTTTATTATGAAGCCATAAAGATGTCAAACTATATAACAGGCTATGCAACTTTCTGTTGAACACTTGCCATAGCAAAGGGGCCCTTTTGTTTTACACTCCTTAATGTTGAAGTCACTTGTAATTTCAACCTACCAAAAAATAATAATAATAATTATAACACTACAAAACCAATTCATGGAGATTAAAACTAACTGAACAATTCATTTAATGAATGTTGTGATTTTCATCCACTAGTTTGTAAGGACATTTAAGGAATAATTTTAAAAATTTTTACATGCATTAGGAATCAATCATGATATGTGATCCCGGACAAATATTTTGGGTAAGTTGTAAATGTTAGTATAATATTATCCTAACTTGTAATCATAAGCAAACTTCAGAGACCTAGATGTGATTTATCCTTATGTCCTATACATTCAAATTCTATTGGATTTTCTTTCCCAACATAGACTGAAAAAGTAAATATTGAAGGCTTTGAGTAGCATGATTGACAATTAAATTAGGTCAATTTCGCTCTTAAGATTACATTTCGGGGTTGTACTTATTCCAAGGTTTATTATTGATGGATATTACTTGTAATCTATCTTATCACCTACAAGCTTGTGTACTTGTGGTCATATCCGATACATTTCAACATGGTTCTGTTTTGCAATGTCCCCATTCAAATGTCAAGTTACTTCTTATAGTCTATCATGGTCGGTGATTTACATTGTCTTTGTTCATGGTTATTTCTGTATAGATTCTTTTGGATTTTGTATTGATTCATTTTTCATTTGAGAAAATAATAAGTTTAGGATTTCGGGTAAATAAATCAAAACACCTTGAGATTTCCCATAATACGCTCTGGTCTTTTTATTATTTCATTATCAGTAATTTTAGTCCTTATAAACTACCATTAGTGGAAAGTCTAGTATTTAAGGGGGTAAAACATTTTATAACATAACAATTCGGGGAAAAGTGCATTGAATTTTAACATTCGAAGGACAAAGTTGTCCATTTTTAAAATGTTAGGGATTACATTGTTAATTTTGGATTAAGGAAAAATGTTTACTATGGGAGATTCTGAGGGAGGATTTAGTAATTTGGCCAGTAATTTATGAATATTCATTTCTGTTTTGTGAAACCCTTTTTTTTTTCTTTTTTGGTAAAGAAGATGCTAGGCAGTAGTAAACAATGAAGTATGTTAAGAATTGTAATTGATATATTTAAATCAATACTTCGTTGATATTTGTGTCTATTTAATGTTTATGCACAAATTGTGTTGTTGCAATATTTCTTTGTAGCATTTGTTGGTGTCTATGCTTTCTAATGTTGGTGTATTGGTAATATAGTTGTATTGTATCTATTTTGGGTCTTTGCATATACTATTAGAATCCTGCTGATCAGTTAATAAATCAAACAGTAATACTAAATCGCTAATAGTCTGAGTTCATTGTCCAGATTGTTGATCGGCTCCAGTATTATGTGCAGGATGGTGATATGGTAAGATTGTACCTTCGATGATTTAAATCTGCAGTTCTATTGTTAATTGGTGTGAATGATCATATATTAATGAAACACCCAACTGCAAAATATTTTCTTCTATGCTTTATTGACAAATAAGCTTGAAGTAGAAAATCTCAGAAGCACGATCCTCGCCTTATTCTTTTCCATTGACCATAATTTTGGCTTCTGGCATCTCTTGAATGAAAGCATCAATAAGAAAGTAATGGCATATTTTATGTGTTCTTCACCTGGCTTAAGATCTTTGTGTTGTTTTGCGATGCTAATTGTTTTCTTCTCTCTAAATGTTTGATTTGGCTATAGTTGCTATTCTTAATATTATTATTGTCTGTCTTACATCTGAATACTGATTCCGATGAACAGATAGTTGACTTCTGCTGCGGCTCTAATGATTTTAGTTGTCTGCTGAAAGAAAAGCTTGAAAAAACCGAGAAAACATGCTTATTCAAAAACTATGACATTATACAAGCTAAGGTACAATGCCATTATTCCTTTCTTGATGTTTTAGTATTTGAGAAGTTTAACTAACTGAATTTCATTTATTTAACAAGAATGTGAGTATAATCTTCAGCACTAAACTTGTCTGTTGTGTTTGATATACATGGATACATTTTTTAGGAATAGACACTTCAAAACGGTTGAACTGTCCGTCTCTGATGCACCTCCAACACACAGGTTCCTGTCAGAATTTTTCTATTCTTTTTTTTTTTTTTTAATTTAAGGGCAAAATAGATGCACAGGACATGAATGAGAGACTCTTTGAGAGCAGTACATGATTTAGTTTTTGACTTTTTAAAATCTACAAGGACTATGAGTAAAATGTGAAAAATGAAGGTTCAACAATAATTTTTTCATGAATAATTTCTATGAAATACTGAATTTTTAACTTTTAAGCATGTGATATGGCCGACTATTGTCTTGACATTGGTGTGAATTTAGTTTTGAATAGATCAAAACAGAGATAAAGGGTTCATATAGTCGATCTCAACTAGTTCGGAATTAAGGTTTAGTTGTTGTAAGCATATGATATATATATTATTGAAAATATATTAATATCATCTTTTAGTACAATAAGCATATCTTTAACTTCATTGTATAATTGAATATTAAAGAATTATATATTAAATATATGAGATTTAATATATATACATATATATAAGTATGAATGGGGACAAAAAGTGACCTGTTTAAATTTAATAATACGAAATTTTCCTCTTTTTTGATCTGTTATTTTGAAGAACTTTTTAATTTGATAAGTTATATTAGTTTCCTACCTATATTCAAATTTTATTGGCTAAGAAATAAAGTAAAAGATAATTTTAATTATTAGTTACCTATAATAATTAATAATAATTAATGAATCAAATTGAAAACGTTGTAACCCTAATATCCATGAAAAAACTATGCATCAAATTGTGAATTTGAAACCTTTATATGTGTGTGTGTGTATATATATAAATCAATTATAAAATCAAACAAAATGTTGCCTAGAAGAATTTATTTTCTATAATTTAAGATTGCCTACAAAACTAATTTAGCATGTTATTTTAAAAATTAACTCTAATACTTTGTTGTTATTATTATTATTATTATTGTTATTGTTATTATTATATTAAAAATCTTAATTAAAAAGTTTTGTCCAACCTTAATTAGGAGTTATCATCCTATTGTGGAAATTTGTCCTATCATCACCATTGAATACATGTTTTGATTTATTTTTACTATCAAGAATTTGTTTGCTTTTGCTATCACTGGTATGTTGAAGATTTCTCGCCTTATTAACGTTGATCATGGAAATACTAAATTTATTTATTTATTTTTGGGTATCCTACCACAAAAGCTTTTTTGACTTGGCTAGTAAGATTTTTTTTTTTCACTATCTAAGATTTAATTTGGATTTTGGTAAAACTTTACAACTTCAATTGATAACTTTTCATTGGAAAATGTTCATAGTATATATTATTATGTCGTGTGCGTGTGCGTGTGTGTATATATATATATATATAATAATCTTGACTACATGGGTTTGTATATATTAATAGTGAATAAAAGACAAATAAATTAGTGGAAAAATTTCTATTAGCTAGTAGTTGATTTTTTGGTATTGAGATTAGTATATTAGCAATTAATTAATTCGTTGACATTGAGGTTAAATTTAATATGTAAGAAAGGTAGTGATATTTGGTGGATACATTGCCTATATGTAAGACTAATCCAAATTTAGTTTCCTTTTTATGATATTAGTTTCATTACTTCCCTTTAACAATTGCGATTTCATATTTAATAGTGACAGAGTGAAGTCCATTTTCATGAGCAAGTGTCTAGAATAAATAATCTAAAAATTAGTGAAGTTAAGAATAAAGGGATAGAGTTTCAAAATTTATTGGTTTATTCTATTTTGTTAATAGAAAGATTTTATATAGCCTCAAGGGAAGCCCTTATTCGGACATTGAAAAATAAGTCTAGATATTTTATTTATTTATTATTGATTAATAAAGTATAAATAAATTTAACTAGAGCAGGTGTAGTCTTAACTAAATTTTCATTTCTTATATCAAAGCATACATAAATAACTTTCATATTAATTTTGTTTCTTATTTACTAGGGTCAAGTATTAAATATATATTTATTATTATTATATTATTTATCATATATGCACTTGTGCTATGGAAATTTGATGTTAATTGTCTACTATAATTTATATTATATTATAATTGAAATATTTGTTTTTGACTTATTTATTTTTCAAAGTTTGTAGGGAACAACAATAACATAATATCAATAAAGTAAAAATTCAATACGCACATTACTAAAAACTAATATATTCTTTTATTACTGTGTTTCTCTGTTGTGTCCTAATTTTTAGAAAATATTTGTGTTGGTGTCTCCATATCATCTCATGTTTGTGTTTATGCAATACATGTGTGTGTGTCTGTTCTTTGTAGGATAAATTGCATGCATTATACAGTTGAAAACAAACTGAAAAAGGAAAGTCCATAACTTGTGAATTAGTGAATTACTCAAATTTCGTTGATGTCTGTTTGCAGAATGATTTTTGTTTTGAGAAGAAAGACTGGTTGAAAGTTAGTTCAGATGAATTATCTGATGGTTCACGACTGGTGAGAGTTTATGTTTTAGTTATTAAACAGGAGCATAATTGTCTTTCATTTTCTCTCTGACCTTTCATTTTATATTAGATAATGGGGCTGAATCCCCCGTTCGGAGTGAAAGCATCTCTTTCTAATACTTTCATTAATAAGGCCCTTGAGTTCAAGCCAAAGCTCCTCATTCTCATTACTCCAAAAGAGACTGAAAGGTACGCAATTATTCTCTGCATTTAGAGGCAAACTTGGCTCCGTTTCTGATATCATACCATGGTTTGTCAGGCTAGACCGGAAGGCTCCATATAATTTAATTTGGGAAGATGAGAAATTACTTTCAGGCAAGGTATGCAGGCAAATGCAATGAGTTGTAATTGGCTTTACTAGTTGAGTAAGACAAAAGTATGAAGTTCCATTTTTATATCTTCCTTTGCAGGCATTTTATCTCCCTGGATCAGTTGATGTTAATGATAAGCAAATGGAGGACTGGAACCTAAGCCCACCTCCATTGTACCTTTGGAGCCGTGCTGACTGGACGCCCTTGCACAGGGCAATAGCACGACAATATGGCCACTTATAAGGTAACGAAGTTAGTATGCCAAACTCAAACTTGTACCATGTATGTAGTTAGTATATGAAATGGAGCCTGTTTTTTGGGGTTATAATTTGAAGTCAGATACTTAAAAAAGGTATATTAATACTAGTTTTTTGAGGACATGAATAGTGGCATTTTATCTAACCATAAAAATCAATCTGGCTGGCTCTACAGTAACTGTCTAACTGACATATTTCTTTTGTAGATATGATGTGAGAAATGGGTAACTTGCGCAGCATTGAAATTGTATTATTTTTATTTATTTATTAACAAGTAAAAGAAAGAACTAAAAGAAGTAAAAGAAAGAACTAAAAGTGACAAAACCCAACTGTTCAGCGGACTCTTTGGTGGCTTTAAAATTTAGTATACTGATTTGATTCGGTTCAGTAGCCCCCAGGCCCCAACGAGTCAGTTCTGTATTTGCAAAAATTCTCATATATATATACACAAATCCGCGCGCACACGAATTCTTCAACAGCAATTCTATAATCCAAGTAAATTTCATTTGAATTATTCAAATCTGTCTGAATTTATTTAATTCAAAATTTTACTTTATATAAATAAATTTAAACAATTTTTTAACCAATAATTTATATTTTTAAGAATTTAATTATCAAGTAATCATATTAATGTGTAAATCTCTTTTACGAAAATAATGTTTTAGAAGTTTATCAATTGTACCACATAAACATTATTTAATTTAATTAATTATTTGTATGACCACGTTCAGGTCAGGAGGTAAAATCAGAAGGTAAAATTAGTTGATCTATGCAGGTGATTTTAATCAATATAAAAAATCAAATACATTTATAGAAAAAGAATTAAAATTAAACATTATAAAATAGAGGAAATTAAGAATAAAAAAATACTTCTAAAAATAAGGAACCAAACCTATAATGGCAAGTTAACTTTATTAATACATATATTAAAAAGAAAGAATAAAGGGTATTTTAGTAATTATATTTTAGAAAATTAAAAAAAGATTAAGAATATCCATCATAGATAATTGTTCCATGGTGTTCTCCGTGGCCGCCGGGAAAGGGAAAAAAACCCTAAAGTTTAAGGTAGAACTTGCATAGAGGAAGACAGAAAAATCTAACCAGTCCTGTAGCAGAACCGATAATTCCTGACCAGTTTTTAAACTGCAAAAGCCGACCCGACCGGTGGGCACCTATGATTGAATTCAATCTCTCTGCATGTGGAAGATGGACGACTCATTTGCTTTTTTAAACAACTGTTTTAAATTCTCAAGTAGCAATATTAACTATTACTAAATATTTAAAATAAGTCAAAATGTTAGCGTAAGGAAAACTTGTGATGCTTGCAGCCGAGTTTTTTTATGGATTACTACGGATCATATTAGTAAAAATATAATTTTTTTTTATTGAAATAATGTTATTTCTAATCATATGTTGGAGGGAAAAAAAAAATAAAAATAATTTTTTTTAATAAAATTGTATTTTCATTGATTTAGTTCATAGATAGAGCTATAAATTCGATTTAGACAAGTATGATATTTTCCATTTTTTGCTTGGTTTTAATTGACATGATGTTTGGTTTTATGTTGCAATGTTTAGATTTATGTTGGTGTTGATTTTTACCTTCTTTTTGCTCTCTTTTAATTTTCATCTCTTTAGTTTTCATCGTCTTAAGAAAGGAAAGGTTCTCTAGTTTTCTCTATGTGTAAGTTTTTCTTATCAATTCCGAGCATTAGATTCTTTAGGTGTATTGGAAAAATATGCTGCCTGGCTTGGGTTTAGTTTTGCTCGATTTTGGTAATTTTTTTTCCTTTTTATTATTAATCGAATAAAACTGATGATTGGACAAAAAAAAAAAAATCCTATTTGGTTTGCAAATCCTAAAACATTTTAAAACTGAAAAATAGATATTGAGGAAAAATGAGAGGTTGCAAGACAAAAGAACACCATTTAATTAAGAAAAACAAGTCCCATTAAAAGATCCCAAAAAGCATCTGCAGGGCAGTGAAAAGCCAGAAGTGCCCTGACTTGCAATTTTTAATTTAATTCCATAATTTTGAACAACCCCAAAATTTACATTTAATCCAACCTACTACATCAACAGACACTCTTCATTGGGTTCCCTTTCCACAGATAGAAAGACATAAATTAAACACTCATACTCCAGAAGGGGCAACAGGAAAGCCTCCTGCTTGGTTGTCTTATATTTAACAACATTGATAAAATTGTTATTCTTGTTACTATTCTAAGTGCTATTTCTCATCCATTTTGAGTGTGTTTAGTCTTCTCAATCTTTGATCAAGTTCTGCCATTACTGCTGGTTCTTGCTTTTTCCTTTGTTTTGATATGTTGTTGGTTGTCATTGATCCTATCTTATCAAATGCCACCTGCAAGATTTATATTCAACAAGCTTTAAGTATAGCATTTTTCTTGATTAAGAAAAAACTACAAACTTCTCTTTCATTGTAATTAATTTCATTGCCAAATGGCGCCTTGCCACTGTGTCATCGACTAATAAGAGTGTGACTTGTCTGCTTGACATAAAAAATGGGGGAAAAAAATCCATATTCTATAATTTACAGAAAATAGACTTTTACGGCTTTTGAAATGCTTTTTATGTGCATAGGTTGTGGAACTAATCTGCTTAATAAATCAGCTTCTTCCATAGGTTCTTTTTTGATTTTTGGGTTCATTAGGCCATGACTAGGACTTGAACTTGCAATTTTACAACTGTTGAGATGATTCTAATACGATTAATTTTTAGTTTTAAGTAGTTTTGCCATTCTTTTTTCGTTTATAAAAACTATAAATTCCATTCAATATCACATTGAGAAGTAAATTTTCTTACCGTCAATAATTCGTCTGGATCAAAGAGGTGATGGCTTGTTTTATGTAATATGTTGATTACATCACCAACATGATGAGTTAGCAGCAGCTCTTCCTCCTTCATCTGCAATTAAAAATCATAATTTCTCTTATTATTATCGTTTGACTGTTAATTATTTATATTCAGAATTTAATTATGAAAACTCATGCAATGTGAAAAGATTTGTGGTAACGGCGGTAGCACCTTAAATATAGCCAAAGCTACATGGAATAGAACCTTTGCCCCCTCAAAGAAAAGCACATCCCATACCCGCAGAGTTGTCTAGAGAAATACCAACAAAAGGAATAATGATCGTTAGCCATCAAAAAAAATTCTCAAACAAACAAAGATGATATAGATCAACGGTGTTCAAACCTCTGAAGGCAAGCTCTTTGAGAATAGGCATAGAAACCACTCAGTGGCAACAAGGGACACATCAAACTCTAATTCTTCCAAATGAGCAGCTATCCTGCATTTTTCTTTTCCAATTTTAATCCTTTTCAATTTTAAACAAATAACAGCTATTTAACAAAATGCAAATCAGTTTGAGTCACTGAAAGGAAAGTACCTCGGACACTGTTTGGCAAGCAAATCCTTGAAAACCCTTTGTTCAACATGGCATCCTGATAAGTTATTTGTATAGCAGTCATTAACTAAGACATTTTCCAGGAGAACAGCAAGCATCCAAAAGGCATCTTCCTCTGTTTTCATCACAAGTAACAGCAATGCCGCAACATAATTTAACCCCTGTGCGCAAAGGATTATTTTATTACTCATAACAAAAGTAGCCTTAATTATTACAAATAAAATAGCAACAACCTATTATACCATGACCTGTGCTTATATTTAGTTGATAGCTACCCTACTGGAGGACTTTGTAGCTAGTTAGAACAGTTTTATTTTTCCTCAAATCCAATTATGAAAGGCATATACTTGTTGAAGTAATGATTTCAATGGGGAGATAAAGTTACAGACATTTTGTGCTGATAAAATCTACAAGAATTAATTATAGAGCAGCAATAAAAACATCCATGCTTTATGATGATCAGGAAACCAGAAGAAGATACAAATATAACAATGATTACATCTAGAAGCCACATGGTATGATGTAATACTAGTTTTTTAAGAAGCTGTGTCTCGTGTACTCATGAGCCATGACTACTATAGATAAAGATTTCTTTGCATAATTATAGAGAGGGACTGTTGCTTGAAAATAATGCTCAAAGAATTATTTAGAGAGGGCATTAGAGGAGCTAACAGTCTTAGTGGGCATAGATGTGGCATGGCAGGTAAAAAAATATAGTAGGATACTGAGTCCAAATGGTCAATTAGGGAATACTTAACAAGAAATGTCCATCCAAATTCATCAACCAGTATATGCAGGGCAATATAGTCCATTGAGAGAAATACGCTTTCAAGGAGAGAATGTGTGAAGGAAAGCAAGTGACAGAAGAAAGTATGAATCATAGTGCGCCAAAATCCTCCAAATGAAGTGTAGAAAGGGATATTTAGTTTGGTGAAGATTAGGTGGTGTCCATATATCATTTGGTGATTAACAAATGATAACTGGGATAAATAGAGATATGTAAGACTAAGAAAGGTTAAATATAGACAAACTCTCTTCCTTTAACTATCCTTATTCTGAGCATACCAAGTGAAAACTCCTAAATCATGATATGAAATTAGCTCTAGAATCCCACTTCTAATTTCAGAATTAATTCCAAGCATCTACATCTATGCTACATAAAGTTTGGATTAAAAATCAAACTTCAAATATGCATGAACTGTGCATCGAGATTCATCCTGCTTCCTCGCCAAAGCCATGTGACAGAATTTTTCTCCAAGAATTCATCCTATTATTTTGGTGTATACTCTAAGGTCTTAGTTTTTGACACATCCACACCCATTATAAGTTACACAATTTTTTCAACCCCAGAAATACCCACCTGACAGTAGCCAACATCAGAATCACGGAAAGAATATCCAACAAGGACACGTCGGAGGGCTGCATGACCCTCCGGTGTGTCCAACCAGGGGTGACCAGGAAAGGTTCGTGGAAGATCCTGCACGCATATACATAGAAAGAGTTAACATAACTTGTAAAGAAAAACATAATCTGGAATTAGATTATTCATATAGAAGGGAATTAGTTGGAAAGAAAACAGAATCTTTTTAATAAGCAAACAAGATAAAATACATCACAACAAACAAAACAATGATTAATTATCCACTCTACAAAATCTAACCCATTATTTCACTTCCTCAATTATAATCCTACTTACTAACCAGCATTTTGTAACATTTTTCATCCTTCTGAAATATAACTACTAACAACCATAGAAACATTAATAATCAACCATATTATAAGAACATCAACTCTGCAAATATAGATTGAAACTTGAACCCTTATATAGCTATGCAATTTAAGAAGCACACGCACTGATATAGGTTCCTCATTCTGTTTTATTGTTAGCTAGGAGGCGGCAAAAATAAAGAGGGTGTTCAAGGGACAGGAAAGCCTCTCTATGTTCTAGGCTTTCAGACTAGCATACTTCACTTTATCAGTGTAATCACACTTTTTATCACGTTTTCATTGTCACAGATTTTTTGGAAACCTCTCTTGTAAACAAATTTTCACTTTCTTTTACTCCAGTGCTACTTTAATTATTCTCCTCATTCATAACTAGAAGAAAGAAGACGAAAAGGGACACTCAAAACGGTTCTTCCTTTCTGCAATTCAATGAGCTCAGACAGAAGAGTAATTCCTTGAATAAGAGAAAAAGACAATAAAAAGGAGTGTATACAACAACCTAATAAGTCCTATATAGAAAAATGGAAATGAAAAAGGAAAATGATAATGACAGATCTTTTATTTGCAGAGGTACTCAGTTAACAATACCGGTGAATGCTCCATAAATTTTCATCCTCCTAAAAATATCAGCTTAATCATAAACAATTCTTTAATTTGATTAACCTCTAAATCTCAATGCAAAGAGAAAGCAAGGTAAAATCTCTAGTACCAATATCAAATTACATAGATGCAAAGTTCTTCATTTAATTTCATCTACTATAAATATAAATTGTTATTAATATACACAACAGCAAACACCATGTCTTTAAACAATTGTTAACCCCTAATAAAGCAACAAATAATCTAGAACCACCAAACTCAATCAGAATAAACCACCAATTTCAGAAAATAATCTTTATTGCAATTCAAACTAAGCCGATGTACCTTTAATATGATCGATCAAACTTTACAACCATCAAATCTATGGTATAGCTCTTCAACCACATACATAGAAGCAGAATAAAAAGAAACGTATACAGACTGTAATCCATATAAGGAAATGCACCAAAATCACATCTAAGACTATAAATTATCAAAACAAAACAATGAATTCAAAAAATTACCAAAACCACCAAAACAATGTAATCCAAAAGAAATACAAATACACTCACATGATCAATCTGTCTTGTAGCTGGTGTAACCTTCCCTTCAACAGCCTTGGTCAAATCATTGTAATAACTCTCAGGAACCGTAGATTTCTTTTTTGCAGCTCCAGATAGAGAAAACCAAACTTTAGGCCTGAGCACAGGAGGTATACCCTTCCTTATAAGCCTCTTCAACGTGATTGCATTAGCTAAAGTGGACAATTTAAGGGAAGATTTTAAGGCAATTCCTTCAGCTATGGAAGTAATTTGTGGCTGCAAATACCAATTAGCACCTTTGCTAGCCTCTAATGCCCACCAAACTCTCCCTTGTTGTCTCACCTTCTCTCTAACCTCATTCAATATATTAACATCATCCACATTGCCTTCTACAGTGAACCCATAAAGGTCTTGGAATTTGACAGTAATATTTGCCCTCCTTGAATGGATGCTTGGCCTCAAGATTGGAAAGTGAGATTGGAATTCTAAAGAAACTTCTCTTTTGGTATGTGTTTTGTACATATCTAGGTTTTCTGTTTGTGGTCTCTTGTGATAGATCAAGAGAGGAAGGTAAAGAGAGCAATGGAAACAAAAATAGAAAGCCTTTTGTCAAATAAGAAAAGCCCAAAGTCTTGGAAACATGTGAAATGGTCAATTTTTTGAAGCTTAAAGAGCTCTAAATTGAATTAGCCTCAAATTGGATTTTCAATTATTTAACAAAAGAAGACTTACAAACAAAATTATCACAGAAAAGAGAATTATACATTTGAAAATGGCAACAAAGCTTAAAAATCTAACCTAACAAAGAGAAGAAAAATTTAACTATAAAAATGGAGCTTTTACCTTTTCAAGTGGGCTCATTAAAATAAATGGATTATTGAAACAAAGAAAAGAAACCCAGAAAAGGAAAAGCTTATTAAACAGAATTAGAGACAAAAAGCAAAATGAAGAGCAAAACCCAGAAAAGAGATCTTCCTAGAAATGCATAGAGAGAGAGAGAGGTGGACAATAGGGAGTTGATGATTGAATTTGGCTTCTTTGTGGTTCAAGCAGAAGAGAAAAGAAGATTTTTGGAAAAATGGGTGATAAGGGAAAAAGACCCGATTTTTAAGGGAATTTTTAGAGAGCTTTAAAGCTTGAAAAATATGGAGGACTCGACGGGAATATAGGTGGCCTGAGGTGGACTTCTCTGGTGGAGGACAAAGATCAACTTAAAAGGGACGAGACTGAAAAGATTTTTAGTTTAGAGGACCTAATTTATAATTTTGTTTCTAATACTTTCCATAAATATACAAATTTTTTTTAGAACGTTATAAGTGGATGATAAAGAGAGACGTTGGTAATGTTTTTAAGAGATTGAGAGAGAGAGAGTGTGCGCGCGCGTGTGTGTAAATGTGTGTGGGTAGGTTAAAATTGCTCTCAACTCATAGAAAATGACAAAAATACCCTTACGGTATTATATGTTGTTTCTTGAAATTAATTCTTTAAAAACAAATTGTCATATGTTGGTTTTTTGGTAGATAGCATTCTTTTCATTATTTCAGAAATTTTTTTTCCTTATTAAATGCTTTATGGAGAATATAGGAAAAAAAAAAAAAAGAAAGATTCATTTTTCATAATGTTTAATCCAATAGGGTAAGCAATTTAATCACTTAAGCATAAGAGCAACATTAAAGAAAATAATTGTGAAAAGTGAAGTATAATGTTAAGGAAAACAACCAAAAATAGCTATTTGAAAATGGAAGATTAGCAAACTTGTCAAAATATAATTCACCTATCAAATATTCTATTAGATTGGTTGCCTGTCCCCTAATTTGAAATGGACATATTTCCATTTTTTTTCTTTATTATTTGGGGCTCTTTTTGTGTCCAAAAATAAATTAACTTTAGAAAATAGTTTCTTAACAACTTATTTTCTATTATTTTGTTTCAATATTGAAAATTATTATTGAGGTGAAGATGGTTTTGGCTATAAGGATTATACATAACTGAGTGGTGATAATGGTGGATAGTACGATGTTGGTTCAAGAACTTCATGGGGATCACTTTCATGGTTCGTCTTTTAGTTCTGTTATTTTTTATTGCAAAACTCTTTTTAGAGGCATTTGCTCTATTGAGTTTGTTAGGAAGTCAACGAACCGGATAAGCCATACACTAGCCTGAACTGTTGCTTCTTTGTCTGATTCAATAATGTGAAATTTTCCTTCCCCATTTTTCATTTTGGATGCACTTTAATTTGATTTCAGCTAAATAAAGCTTTATCCGTATTTAAAAAAAAAAAAAAAAAAAAAATAAAGCTTTAATCCGTATTTAAAAAAAAAAAAAAAAAGAACTAAGTGGTGATAATCAAAAAAAAAAAAAAAAAAAGCAAGGAAAGAAAATAATTTAACAATCTCGCGGGAAACAAAAGGCGATGACCTAAAAAAAAAAAAAAAAAAAAAAAAGCAAGGAAAGAAAAATAATTACAATTCGCGGAAAAACAAAAGGCGAATGACCTTTTGATATAGAGTTAGTTCTGCATAATTAACTGTTTTGATATCTATTAGCTGTTTTAATAGCGTTCAGTTGTTATTTTAGTAGCATTCAGTTGTTTGTTGTTTGAGTAGTTTTTCATGAAATGTTAAAAACTAACATAACATAAGCTAACTTTTTATAAAACGCTATCTTAAACTGTTAAAGTTAATTCAAACGTTATGTTACCGAACACTATAAAAAATAGCATTTAGTCAAAATACTAAAACTACTTAAAAAGTTATTGTCAAACATAGTGATGGAATAAGATGCTTTTAGATTTTTAGAGAAGCAGACAACAATAAAAAGACAAAAAAAAAGGAAAAAATAGAAGACTTTTGATATTACTATACCCCTGCTCTTGGGGTGCAAAGGAGCTAAACTTTGCTTGAATTTGTCGGACTTGAAACTCGGCTTGATAGAATTTAGTTCGATTCGAAATTTGATAAGCCTAAAAATTTTAAGCTAAATGCTCAAATAAGTTTAATATATATAGCTTTTGAACTGAACGTCATTAGCTTCAAGCTCAACTCTTTTGCTAATGAGTCGGCTCGAATAGTTCAAAAGTTGGCTTGGCTAATTTAGCCCCTTAGTGTAGCTTACAATATTTTTTTTTTATTTTAATTATCCGGTGTTCAATGTTCATCGGTATAATTAATCCAGATTAATGGGGCAAAGCACTCCCTCCCGAGTGTTTAAACGAACTCCATATTCAGAGCTTGAACTTAAGACCTCTGTTTAAAGAAAAAATGATTTCCGTCATCCCATCACACCCTTCGGCAGTAATTTACAATATTATTTGATTCAAATGACTTTTTAATGAATAAAAAAAATATATAGATTGACATATTTGAAAAGCATTATTAAATTACTAACTAGTATAAGTACAACTTGAGATTTAGCTTGAATTTGTAAAAAATTCGGAGAACTTTCTTATTTGTGTTTTCAAACTATATAAATTAGTTGTTTTTTGAATTATGCCACAATTAAATTTTTTTTGAAATTAATTAAAAATACGCCTTTCCGTATATAATTATAAGAGGGTAGCTCTCTTTTGAACTTACCAAATTAGTGAAAAATATTTGTGATCGAAAATGACTCGAACTCGAAATAAAATAAGAGGGTAGCTCTCTTATGAACTTACCAAATTAGTGTAAATATTTATGGTAAAAAAGGACTTAAACTCGAAATAAAATAAGAGGGTAGCCTTCTTCTGAATTTACCAAATTAGTGAAAAGTATTTGTGGTCGAAAAAGCTCGAATTCGAAACCTCTCAGTGTTCACATATATGAAAAAAATCAATCAGATCACATCTGATCGGAAGCATATCATCTTATTTGTCTAAATTTTATTGCATGGGTATTATATGAACATGGTACTTAATGTTAAATGTAGTATAGTTATTATTAACTCCTTATTAAATAATTAATGTTAAAAAAATTAGAAAAGGTTAAAAAAAAAAAAAAGGTAGTAATTCTTAATCTTACATTCATTGTGAAGGGCAAATTAGTCAATGTAAAGGATTAGGATTTAGGACGCGGTTTTGTGTTGAAATCAGGAAAAGTAATTTAAATAGTTTGATTATGGCCCCACTTCATTCCAATCATTACCATTACCATAGTTATCTATGCAAACAGATGCGGGGGCCACACCCCTCGATTAGCGCGCGAAAACGGACGGCGTCACGTGTCAACATTTACACGCGTGCCTCTCTTCTCTGGTTGCATTCTCATCAGTATCAGACATCAGAGTAGCAATCGGATCAGGCCCTATGGTTTGGTTCAGATTGTTCTAGGTTCAAATCATTTTTAGATCAGAACAAATTTCCAGGAATAGGAATGTTGCTTTTTCATTATTTTGTACTAGTGATGGCCCTTGCCCTCCAAACCTTTTTTTTTTTTTTTTTAAATCCACAGAATAATAAAATTTTTAATTTTACATAATAAAATCTTTAATTTTGCCTCCTTAGTTCTTGAAAATTTTTTTTACCTCTTTTAGCTTCAATTTCTCACTCCCTCACTTAAATCATAATTTTTTTTAATATTAAATACATATAAGATAGAAAACTCGGATATAATAGCTTCGTTTCTGAATTTCGAGTCGGGTCAAAAATTGTCATTCAGACAACATAGTCTAGATGTCATTCCGCTGCAGCCCGAAGCATCCTCGCTTGCAAAGCTGACAAGTGGACATCTTCAGCTGGTAATAGCTTATGGGCCGGCATTTCACAATAAAAGTGGGCCGGTCATGTTATGGGTCCCACTTTTGAGGACCATCCAAAGCAATGCGCGTAATCAACTTTGTTAAGATTATTACTTTTTTAATTATCTTATTCTCTAAAATCCTCTCTATCTCTCAAAGAAAAACAAGAGAATTATTAACAAGACATTGCACTGAATATCAGTTTTTGAAATTTAATTTTAAAAATATCAGTTTGACTTGAAAATTTAAATTATTGTCGTTTATGATATATTTTTATTATTTGTGCATTTTCATCGGTTATCAACATTTGAATGTTTAAATATGTTAGTATTTTCTTTTATATTAATTTCTTATTTTCACTGTTGTTTTCTTTTCTTTTTTTTTAGTATGTTAATATTTCTTTTTATCTCCGTTTTTTTTTTCAGCCTTCATTATTTTTTTATTGTTTCTTTCTCCTTTTGCTGTTAATCTTTTCATTTAATAAATTGAAATAAATTTATTAAATTGCCCCATTATTAAAATGATTAAGTAAAATAGATTATATTTCTAAATAAACTTTATTTATAAGATCAAATGTCTGTCCTAATACGATTTTAATATAAACACATATACGTGCTTTTACAGTTTAATCAAACACAATATATATTATTATCTTGAAAAGAGTTGGTACTGACTAACTCAAAAGAGGCATGGAAGCTTCGATGCACATTTTCAATCCCTTATTGGCTGTTTTAGATCTTGACTATGCTACACTGTGTATCCGATCACATGAAAGTTCATTGACCATTTGTTTGAGACTAAAATTCCATATATTTTTTGTGAAAAATAATTATCTAATAGCAATTATTTGATTGATCTTTTCACATCTTATAACAAATATTATTAAAACAAAAGATCTTAATTATAATTTAGAATATCATTTCAATTTGATAAATGTTATTCAAATATAATTATTATTTAAACTTCTCAAATATAAAAAAATTCCCTCTAAAATATTTTTGAATTAGAATTGAAATTTGCCAAATAGTATATGCCAATATTTATAATACAAGTCAAAAAGCTAAAGTGAGGTAACGTAATTTGATTGATTTTTATTATATTTTTTTAGAATATGCGAGGTGAGAAGTATAGAACTTGAATTTTATCTGCCATATATCTTTTATTAGTGATTTAAAAAGAAAACATAATAATATCAAAGTAAATTCTGAACAAACCCAATTAAATTTTTAAATGTTGGGACCATCTAATTAATTAAATAATTATGAAAACAGAAATTATAAATTAGCATTAAGTGCCTTATTCCAGTACTGGCGGTGAGTTGCTTAGTACAGTGGAAAGGGAGAGGAGTGAGAGAGCACCGTCGAAGTTGTTGAAAATTCGCATGGTGATAATTAATGTAGCTCAAAAATATTTAGAAACAAATTTACATAATTTGATTATTTTGATTCACAGCTATAACTTAAAAAATAATATACTTATATTATAATTTTTAATTTTTTGTTCAATTCAGTTTTATAGTATTTAAATTATATATATATTTTGATTCACAGCTATAAACTTAAAAAATAATATACTTTATATTATATTTTAATTTTTT